GTGGTATGCATCTTTATTCTGAATTGGTGACTTGTATGTATTGTACCCTAAACCCATTCATATTTTAGATCTTCTATATGGAAGCAAAGAGTTAATTTTAATGCCCTGACATACATAATTTTATTGCCGCCATTATTTATTTTTAAAGTTTGAGGTAACATCTCTGGTTGTACCAAAGAGCAAAAAACATGGTTTCATAAACTTTTGTATGTTTCTAAATAGTCATATTAAATGTGGTTAAATATTAATTGAACCTGTTTATTTACATTAAAATTTTGACTTACTGCTGCTTCTAAAAGTGTATTTGTATTACTGGTTTCTTCCATCCAGAGAAATCTGAAAAGTTCCTACTGGTCTATAGGGCTACCCTGTGACAGGTGTGTGTGTGTGTGTGTGTGTGTGTGTGTGTGTGTGTGTGTGTGTGCTGAGAGACTTAATGGATTTCTTTGAAATTCTAATGAAAACTATGAACTCATTTCCCCCTAGAAGAATGCACAGGTGCATATACACATACACTCTGTATAGCATTCAGAGCATTCATGGAGTCCTGCAAATCTAGTCTTGCTTGGTCTCTGGGTTAGGACCACACCTTCATTTCAGAAGGTATTAGCTCCTTTTTGAGTCTCGTTGACCCAAAAATGACTTGCCTTCCACCACTTTTTATAAGGTTTTTTTTGTTTTTTTTTTTGTTTTTTTTATGAGACAGGGTTTCTCTGTATTGTTTTGGAGGCTATTGGTCCAGCCTGGCCTCGAACTCACAGAGATCCACCTGCCTCTGCCTCCCGAGTGCTGGGATTAAAGGCATGCGTCACCAACGCCCGGCCACTTTTTATAAGTTTTATAAAGCAAATAACCCCAGACCTCATATTCTTTTAAAATTTAGACAGTTTAGGGTTGCATTATGATAATTAAATATATATGTATAATAATTAAATCAGGGAAATACTCATTTCCACTTCTTCAATTATTATTCTATGTGTTTGGAATTGTGTGCTTTAGTCATTTTGAATTTCTTCACAGATGATTTCAACCAGCAGTTACCCTGATATGTTAAAGAAGAATGGTAAGGCATTCCTCCAGTCTGGGTTTCCATGCCCTGAACTAAATGCCTTTCTGTTCTGTCTCCTGTTCCCTACACCCCAGTCTCCAGGGACCACAATTCCATTCTAGTTGTTACAGAACAGCAAGAACATGAGGCATTTGTCTTTCCATGTCACGGGATGATCTCTACTTCCATCTATACTCCTGTCAATAAGTTCTCATGGCAGAACATACATTGCTTTGTTAATTCAACCACCGCAAGCACGTATACTTGTTCCGTAGTATGGCTATTGTATAGCACTGCAATAGGCATAGAGTGTTTGTTACTAGTAGACAGGAGTTGTTAAAATGATTTAATCTTCTTTGGATACATGCACAGACACACAGTGGTGGAATTTTATGCTATTTGTACTTGTAGGCTTTAAAAAATATTTTTGAATTTCCATATTGTTTTTCATAGTGACTCTACTACAATCCCACTACCAGTCTGTACAGGACTTCTCTTTTCTCTAAATACTTGCTAACATTTGTTAGTTTTGTCTTTTTATGATAGCCACGTAAGTGTAATTGGATTGTGGCTTGTTTCACATTCTCTAATGATGGCTGGGTTGTTGTTTCATGCGCTTGCTGGTTATTTATGTCTCAATTTCTTTTGAGAAATATCCATATTCTTCAGCAATTTTAAAATTGGACATTTTTCTTGTTCAGTTGAGTTTCCTACATATTCTGGATCCCATTCATTTATTGGAGAAACAATTTGCACATACAAATAGAAAAGGAAGAAATAAAATTATCCCTTTTTTGCAGATGACATGATTTTATGTATAACAAACTTAAGAGAGTCCACCGGAAATCTCTTAGAATCAATGAATCTTCAGCCAAGCAGCAGCATACAAAGCAAGTGGCTTTCTAGCATATTGATAATAAACATATGGGGAAAAAAACCCGGAAAAACAATTTTTCATTATAGCATTAAAATTTAAAATATCTAGGAATAATCGTAACCAAGGGTGTGAAAGCCCTTTACAGTGAAAATATCAAGACACTAGAGAAAGAATGAAAGAACTCTAGAATGTAGAAAACCTTTCTAAGCTTACAGATTGGTAAAAAAAAAAGTAATACAGTGAAAATGGCTATATTACCAAAATAGATCCAGTGTGATCCCTTAAAAATTCCAGTAACATTCTTCACAGAACATGGAAAAAAAATCCTAAAATTTGTGTGGATTCATGAAGGAACACAAATAGCCCAAGTAATCCCAAGATGAAGAATAATGCTGGTGGGCACTACAATACCTGATCACGACTTATACTACAGAATGACAGTAACCAAGGCAGCTTGGTCTGCCACAAAACAGCACATACATCAGAGGGATACAGCAAGGGGTGCAGAATTAAATCCAGACACTCAGGGTTTTTGTTTTTATTTTTCATGACAAAGATGCCAAAAAATACATTGAAGAAAAGATGGCCTTTTTAGTGAATAGTAGTGAGAAAAAATGTCTAGCCATGTGTAGGAGAATGAAATGAGATGCCTCTTTTCAAACATGTGCAAAAATCAATTTAGAATATATGAAATACTGTAAGACATGAAAATTTGAAACTAATTAAATAAAATATAGTGAAGAGAGTCCAACAACCAGGGGTAGAAAAGAACTTTCTAAAAAGTCAATAGATCAAGAAATAAAATGAATTACATAAAACTAAATAAACTTTTGAACAGCAAAGGCAGTAATCATTAGAGTAACTAGATATCTTAAAGCACAGGAAAAAAAATCTTTGCTAGATATGTAACTGACGGTGGATTAGTGTCTAGAATGTATAAAGAACTCAAAGAACTAAATACCAAAAGCCTCAATCAACCAGCCAACCAATGTACTGATGAAATGAATTGACAGTTTTCAAAAATATATTTTTAGATGTTGACAGAATAGGGAAACAACATGTTTATGTAAACCATGATACCATACTTGAGTGACCAGGAACTATCCAATCTCGGAAAACGAGCATAAACACTAGGGGACCATTGCAGGAAACGGGAAGAACTATTTTAAGAGTCAGAAGCCGTGGATGACTAGAATGAAATACTTATTTACAGTGCTGCAGTTGAGCATATGAACTCAGCAGTTGTGATGAAATACACAAGACCTGTGCAAACTCAACTAGTAAGGAGAGGGGGTGTGGGCACAAAATTTCACCCCTACTTGAAGAACTGTGAGAGAAGGGACAGTCAGTTTTTTTTGTTTGTTTGTTTTTTGTTTTTGTTTTTGAGAGAATGGTCCCTGGTAGGTTGACCATGTTCCAGTGGATGTCCATAAATCAAGAGTATACAGCAGCACAAATTAGATTTGATGGTTTCTTAAAAATGAGGACACAAAGTTAGATGGGTAGGGAGAGCTTGGGAGAGGGGAGGTGAATATGTTGAAAATACAAAATGCCCCCCACAATTTTAAGAAACATGAAATATATTCAACAATAATCAGGGTAATGCAAATTAACTACATGAAAATTCCATATCCTTCCAGTAATTATTATTAAGACTAAAAGCTTGAAACAACCCAGCAGCAAAAGCTAGTGAGAACTTGGGGAAGGGTGAATTCTTATACATTGTTGATCCAAATGTTGATTAGGTTAACCACTGTGGAATTCAGTTGTGTAGTGTCTCTAAAACCTAAACATAGAATAACCATATGTCCTAGCTATCACACTTCTGGGTGTGTACCAGTCAACATATCATAGAGAGAATTGTATATCACTGTTTGTTAGGCAGTAACATTCACAATAACCAAGTTGGGGAATCTGTCTAGGTGTTCACCAACAGATGAACAGATAAGGAAAATGTGAAATGTGATATATATTTAATGGAGTTTTATCGAGCCATAAAGAAGAACTCAATCATGTTATTTCTTGGAAAATGGATAGAGCTGGAGCTCTCATATTAAGTAATATAAATACAATGTAGAAATAAAAGTATCATGTTTTCTCTCTTGTGGGTCCTAGGACTCTTTATAGGTACATAAAACCATCTTTATTTATATTCATATGTATGTATATATGACATGGAAGCAAGAGGGAGACTAGGAGAGGACAGTACATAAGCATCTAGGGAAATGAAGGAAACGACCAAAGGGAAGAAATAGTAAGAGGTGGATGTGTCATCACCTACTTGACAAAGAGTGTCTATATAAAACCCAACACAAAGCACAGTGAATACGGCCCCAAGTAAAGAAAACTGAAAAATGTCTTTTCTACTACCACTGGACGGAATGTTCTGTAAATGTCTGTTGAGACTAATATGAATCGGTTCAGATGGTTTTCTTTTGTCTGAATGATATGTCCACTGAAGAAAATGAGTTAAAATCCCCAATATTAGTGTGTTAGAGCCCACGTCTCCCTTTTAAAAAGACTATATTATTGACAATCTACATTTCCTACCCACTCAAATACATTATCACTGTTTACATAAACACACTGGCTTGCTATTCCATCAATATGTACTTGAGCTACCAACAGAACTATCATACTTACTGTGTCACCTTGCATCCTCTAGACTTGCCCCATACAAAGACAATAGGTCTAAAGTTAATTTCTTCAGTTAGCTTATGAAATTCAGGCCAAAGAAGATCAGGTTCTAAAGGTATTTTCATATCAAATGTTTCTCGTGTCAATTTTCCATAAATGAGTTGTTTGGGTAAGTCAAACATGAAATCTGTACTATGGGATTTCTTTCCATCATTTCTAGCATGTAGTTCTGAACTTCTTTCATGAATCAGTCTTAAAGAGAAAGGTTCCTACTAGGCTACATAGATTAGTGCCACTTATCTAGATTGTCCTTCCTCCTATTTGGAAGATAGGTTTTAAAAATGCAGGAACCTGTTACAGTTCTCTATGGCACATTATGTAAAAATGGTGGATACTTTCTAGATGTATGACACAAAATAAACACGCAAAGAAACAATCTTTTCATCAAGGTGCTTTTATTTTAATTGGAGTGACATAAGCAAATACGGGGAAAGAAAAATCAAGTAATTAAACATGTTCCTCAGCCCAATAATATCATAGTCATAAGAAATACAAAAAATTAAATTTCAGATATCAGTTCACCCAACTGTTACACAAACCCGATGCATACTGAGGCTTTACAACAAGATCCACAGATACGGTAAGTAATGGTGAGAACGGCCACTTACAGATAGCTTATGCAAAACTAGCACATCTCAAATGGCAGGAACAACCAACTCACTGTATATTGCAGTTAAGCACTAATATTTGTTGAAAAACTTGCAAAGAAAAGTGCTTAGTGAATGCTCTCCATGAAAGATAGCTGCTAAACCCAGGCCGACCTGGGATGCATCCCTAGCAAAATAGAGATCTCCAGGTCTTTGATGTGGTTTTAAAGTTGGATAGTGTCCATCAGAGAACTTAAGAGGGGAATGTGTAGGTGATTGAAGTTGCGTAGAAACTGGCATATTAGTCAAGAGCAAATGGTTTCTGATTTATTTCTACTCAGTGCTCCCATGGCGGTATGATTTGATGCTTATTCCAAATAGCCAACAGTTTGGTTAAGAGGTATGAAAATTATTTTCCAATCTGAGCACATAAACTCACTGTAACTGTTTTTTGTGTGTCAGAAGAATATGAGTGAGTAGTCATATCATTTGGTGACCGACATGAAATACTTTGTATATTTCAAGCTGGTTTAACCAATATTCCTGTCCTTAAACATTATCAGATCTGACTCAAAATGTGCTTAATTTAAATCTGTGCTTCAAAGATCACCTGTGATGTGATTATTTAATTTTGAAGATATAGTGTTTCTGAGGTATAAAATCTCCAGGTTTAAAATTAACCAATATTGGTGGGACATCTCTCATGATACAAAAATTTTCAAATATCAAGAGAATTGCCTTTCAGCATGTTGGTAACCCTGGGAAAGGGAGTATAAAAACAGCACTAAAGATGAAATGCTAGTGAGTTATTTAATTTGGTACAAATGGAAAATGGCCATAAATATTTTTAAAACTGTAAGATAGTGTTTGTGCTTAAGACTTACAGGTTATAATATTTATGTAATAAAATACTTTCCAGATGTGTTTTTAGTGAACTTGTGATGTTGAACATTAAGTACCAATGGCTCAGTAAATATTAAATACAAATTGGCTGGTTATAATACTGTATATATAACACACATGCTCAAATGGTAGTTAGAAGGCTATTCAAAGAACTGTAATGTGTTCGATAGATCTGCTTATTGGAAAGAGGATGCTGTCTGATAAATATCTGTAGTCTTAATAAATGCCAATTTATTAAACGAACTTTTTGTTTCCCATGCTTTTGCATACTGCCTTTCATTCTACATTAGTAATGGGAGAGAACAAATAGGGGGAAATTGACTCCAAGAAACTTTCTGGGATTTGTGTCTTCTTTTCAAGTCTATTTTGATGTGTCTTATTTGGTCTCCAAGTTCACAGTTGCATATGAGAAGACAACAGTATTCTTTAGAAAGCACCCACTTAATTTACCATAAGGGACTATGAAGATAAGAATACTTAAGAACTGTTTAAGTCATTAGCTAGTCCATAAAGACATATGAAGTCAATGGCATATTTTGATATAATTGACTTCTGCTAGAAAACATACTATGTATTTAAGTACGTATTGCCACACACACTAAGGGACTTATTATATAAGGAAAGCTAATCATGATGCTTCTCAGCCTTTTAAGAGTTCTTTCTAGTCAAGAATCTGACTTGATTTTAATCTGTCAGAAGAGAGCATCATTTTGAGTTCACTAGGACTTTCATTTCTGTGTATAATTATCATCTGAAATATACTGAGCTTTTCATAGGCTACCAGAGAAGTAGATTATAAACTCAAACTAAGCCTTATAGTAGACCAGTCTCAGGGTCCCTGGATGTTGTGAGGCTTGCTCTTGGTGTGAGAGTGATTGTGAAGGCTCAGTGTGGCTAAAACCTAATAGAGTAGAACCATGATGGAACTCTGACCACTGAGAAGGACTAAAGCGGAGACACAGTGTTAAGAATTGCACCTTATAGTTCCCTGATTTAGAGTCGATTCCTTTATTGCTGAGAGAGGCAAGATGTTCATGATGCATAATAAAGCTAGAGGAACCAAGACCTGCAACCATCTATTCACTGGGATTTATAATAAAGTGAGTAGCAGATCGCTTAATGTGAGTGTAATAAAATTAAACTTTAAATAGCTGATGAGGTAAGATAGAGAACACACAAAATGGAGAAAATTATATCCCAAATATTATTTTTAAAATAAATAGTTACAAAGTATTACATAACACAATCTGAATTCAAATTCACTACAAGTATTTCTCCTCTAAATATACCTTAAGTATCAAGGCAAAATAAAAAGTTGTAAAATTGCATCTTTATGTTTGTAAGCTTGTTACGGTCAGGTAACACCCAGTCTTGTGTTACATTTTGAGTAGTTAGTCCTCAGTTTAGTGATGCCTAAATTACTAGCATTCACTTTGGACAAATCTGTGAAGCAGGTAGCTGACTTTTTGAGTCACACCATATATATTACTACTGGAATTGAACTTGAACATTTTTTCATGTAGCTGTTCCTTGCCAGACTAAATTTCATTTCTCCTTTTGAATTATTTTCTTGCTAGTCTAGTTTTTTGAATTAATGTTCTGTGTCTACTTGGAGCTGCATTAAATTTAACCAAACTGATGCAGTTAGTTTTCTACCTGATTTTGTTCAGTGAAATGTTGATATGATAGCCCCAGTTACATTAGTAAATGAAAACAGAAATAACCTCTCTTTCTGTGTCCTGTAACTCCCACTCATTGAACAAATTTAATATAACGAATGCTACTTTACACACTGACTGATGAAGAAATACAAACCAATGGGCTACAACATTACTCTGATGCACACGACTTAAAGGGTGATAATTAAACTCTCCTGGACTGTTTAATCTCCGAGAGAAGAGGAATAAAAAGGGAGTGTATGCCATGCTCTGAAACCAGGAGAGAAAACACCATGTGTTTTCATATGGTAGATAAGTCTAGACCAGTGTAGAAAATGATTTAAGAACAAGAGCAAATGTCATTCAAATAACCTCAACATCACTCTGCCCAATTCTCAGTCTTGGGATAGCAATACCAATGCTAGAAAAAGGATGGCATCAAAAAAAAAGAAGATGACAATTTGAAAATTAGTGTTCTTACTTGTTTTTTTAAAATAATGACATATTTCTAGAAAAATAGACATTGCACAAATTTAATTGCAAAATTTATCTTAAGCAATAATGAGTTCAGACATTGTCTACCATTTGTGTTAAGTTAAACGTGTTTCATTTGTCAAAAGAATATCTGCCCTGACTGCAAGGGAGGATGAATACTTAGGTGTATGCACATTAGTCACTAAAATACAATAGTAGCATAAAACAACCTTATAGCAAATTTTCATGTTGCATATGGGTATATACATAGTAAATAAATAAAAAGAAAACAACCAACAAATCAAAGGATGTGTGCCTGCCTCACAAAGATATGGAAAGTTCTGAAAACCACAGATGAACTAAATGAAATATAATTTACAAAGTACTTACAAAACAAAGAAAGTGCAAAGGCCAATGTCTGATTTAGCTGTCCACCAAACTATTCTAGGTTTCAGGCTTCTGTGAGTCTGCTCAGTTCTGAAAAAATTGCCTCAAACACCGTCTTGTGGACAAAGGGAGGCATATTGTAAGCTTCTCAGAAATGGGGAAGGCTGCAGAAGCAGGAGAGCTAAACCTTATTAACTGCCTAAGACATAGCCATAGAAATTGTTTCATAAACTCAACATCAAGTGGCAATTTGTACAGGCAGTATATCATGAAATAATTCCTTAAGTGCTATAAGTCAGCAAATTTTAAATTTTCAAACTGTATCATGAAATACAGGAAAAAACCCCACAAGAAATTGAAGTCATTAAACAGCTCTTGTCAAAGCAAGACGTTGAAAAACTCAAGACTGACTGTGCTCGTGCTGTGGTTAGAAGTAGTGGCTAAAGCTCTCAGTTAGCAACAACGGTGGGCACATGCCCAGGTCACTCTTCTCTCTTTTCTTTTGATTCTAAGAAAATTTAACTGAGACTAGATCTCTACATAGGAATATTTCTACCAAAAATTGCTAACTGAACTGGCATAAAATTTAGGACTTGTTTATTGAAAACAGTCAGTTCTAATATTGTCATGATAGCCTGCAATTATTAAATGAGACAAAAGTAGTAATTCTTCTCTCTTGCTATACTGAACTAAATAGCTTTTTTTTATTTTAATGAGGCCAATGATTATTTAGAGGGACATTTCCTATCCTACTTTGGGGACAAAATTATCCTGTTTATTTTTATGAAGGGTTGAGTATCTGCCAATCTCTTTGTTATGTTATCTAGACCAAGTATTCATTGTAGCCCTTTGTTATGAACAGAGCTGAGGAAGAGAAAAAAAACATTTTCAAGATAAATAACAGTAGATTGAGGGGTTGTGCTATATAATCACAGTCCCATCTCTCTAGTTATGCCAGACTTAGTCACATGGCCCAGTTTTTTTAAAAAATGAGCTTGAATCATGGTGACAGGCCACTTCTCAATAGTTACCATGTAACATATTTTATCTCCCACACTCCTCAAGTTACGTGAACAAATCTAAATCCCTGAAACAGGAACAAGCCAGTCATACATTCACAGAAATTAGAAAAAGGAAGAATAATAGCTATACAGTTTGTAAGAAAGGTTTCTGTTCTGTGGAACTCAAGTGAGTACAAGTGAATATAATTTACAAAACAAGAAAATGAACTGCATCTTTTTTATACATATGAATTGACCAACCAAGAAACCCCCAAATGCACTGATCACCAGCCAAATGTTCAGGAAAACATTAAAATTACAAAATGAATATTTTTGCATAAGCCAAAAGGCAAAAGGATAAATAGCCTGTCAATTAATATGAAAAATAATCTTTGAAAACATATAAAAAGTCTTAGCTTTACAGCAAATTCAAGTAAATTAATATGTACCAGGTAAGTTCTCAGAAAATTCAACAAATTGAAAGCTCAAAATATACACATAGCACCATCTTTTCACCTTATGTACATTTGGGGGGGTAAATTATCATTTGATTATGAAGATACATATGCAAATGTTTGCATATTCCAATTTTGTGAGTTTAAAACACAGCACCATCGAAGGTATTGCATAAGAAAGAAAATAAAGGAATAAGCAATACAGTGCTTAAAACATTGAAAATAAATAAAGTAGACTTGGAAAATAAATAAACTTGGGTCGAAATATACAGTAAAACTCAATATTAAAGACCTAAAAACCTATATTTATGCACAGCCATGTTGGCAGTACCTGGCCAGCGGCTCATCTATTTGTAATGAAAGCCAGTTCAAATCATGGGTGCATTAAAAAAAAAACTGCCGTATGGCAGGTATGCTTCCCAGGAAAACCATTCACAGCTTTCCCCACTCTGAGTGGGCTTGCCTTTCTAAACTCATTGTTTCAACTAATAGACAGAAAGCATCAGGCATCACCCTATCCTGTGGAATATGTGCTGCTTCTTGAGGTGTCAACTAGTCCCTGTGACCGGAGGGCTCTGGTGGTGCATGCTCAGCTTCTGTGGGATCCAACCAGCTAGATCCCAACAACATCCTTGTGCTAAATATTCTAGAAAAGTCAGTTGTTTCCCACAAAAAGTTTCTCCAAACAATGAGTAAGTAGGAAGTAACAAAAAAAAAGTTAGGTAATTCAGTTAAGCCCGCCGGAATTTTGCTTCCTTTCAGAGCACATTTGCTTTATCTTATTTTTCCCCCCAGAGCTCAAGACAGAACCCAAGGCCACGAGCTTCACAGTAAAGTGCTCTACACTGAGCTAAATCCCCAAACCTAGAACGCATGGTTTTGAAGCAAGCGGCAACCTTCACACGGAGTCTCCGGCTTTTCTTTGCTGAACTGGACCTCTTTCTTAGGAACATTGTCTCCGATGGACGGTGTGTGCTTCATGTACGCACATGCGTTTGCTGACGCTTCAACCTCCAGCCATTACAAAGCTTGTGCTTTGCTCTGATAGCGGGTCCTGGGGATCACAAAGCCAGAAGACTAATGCATAAAAGAGCACAAAGGTCTTGTCAGGCTACTGAAGCTTGTCAAGTACTTGGTACTTTGCCTTCACCGCCAAACACCTCTTAAAGAAAAACCACTCTCTTGCCACCTGGAAGACACATTGACGTGAGCGTAGCGTCAGTTTTGTTCTTCGTTTTTCACGTAGCGTAAGTTCATGTCCACGAGGAGTGCTTCAAATTGAGCTCAAAGCCTGGAAGTCACAAAATCATTTCAACAGTTGACTATGATGAGTTTGGGGGGCTCCCTGATAAAGAGTCTCCCGTAGGTTTTTTTTTTTGAAAAATAAGTTAAAAGTGCATCTCTTATTGCCTATTTTTTCTGTATAAATAGAACGAATGTAGGATGGTGTAGACTTCTTGCAAAAGTCAGTCACAGGACAGTCAGCAGCAGTAAAGTACTGTCTCAATCTTAGGAGAGCAGAAAGATTTGAAGCAACAATAGTAAATTTAAATATGAAGAAGGCATCAAGATAAATTTGAAAAATGAAAGTTCAGAAATCCAGGTCTAATTATGTTGGTGAGTCTACAAAGTCTATGTCGTCTGCGTACCAAGTAATCTCATGTGACTTCTCATGTGACTTCTTCTGAAGAACCGGTGACAAGCTCACCTGCATGTTTTCACATCACATGAAACTGAGTAGAACTCAGAGCCACGGTAAAGCGAAACGTAGGGAACAAAGATGGGAAACACCTGAACATTCTGACTTGCAATTACCGTCAGAATAGGATTCAGATGGCGGCTTTGGATGTCTGCCCTACATCAGGGGGAAAAAAAAGAAAAGAAAAGCAGTCCAGACATCGCAAGCCTTGAGAGCACGTGGCTGTAAAGCACGCATTGACAGCTCCAATGGCATGGAGATATCACCAGGAACGAAATCTTCCTTTGTAGTCTTCATTTTGCACCTGCCTGCTGATGGACAGGAGATACAGGATAGAGGCAGTCTTCTGGGTTACATCTTCCACTGGGTCCTGGGGGTCCTTGAGGCCCCGGGGCACCTGGCAAACCCACTGCTAATGAAATGAAATACACCATGAGAATGCAGGTCACAGGTGGATCCTGCCTGCCTCCCTGTCTCCAGCCGCCATGGGTCATTCGATTGACCAGGTGAAATCCACAGGGGAGAAGAGACCTGTTTTGGGAGGCCTGCATATGTAAAGATAACATGCCTATTACCTGAAGATCCAGGAAGACCTGGACTCCCTGGCAGCCCAATTCCAGGTTCACCTCTTTCTCCCTTCTGTCCACGGTAGCCTGAGTGAGAGATGAATACAGAGTGAGACATGAAAAGAAGAATATTCAACACTAGCCTACACATGACAGTACTGTTCTCTGAGTCAGGCTGTTTGTGTTGTTTCTTCATGAATCTTACATTAATATTCTTCTCATACTTATCATGCATCAGGCTGAGTACAACAAAGCACAGAGAATCTGATAGCTATGCGGCTGATATATAAAGTTAAAGCAAAGCAAGCTTTTGATAGTGAGGCTTGCTTTTAAGAATAATAAAAATAGGCCTGGTGGTGGTGGTGCAAGCCTTTAATCCCAACACTTGGGAGGGAGAGGCGGGTGGTTCTCTGTGAGTTCAAGGCCAGCCTGGTCTACAAAGCTAGTTCCAGGACAGCTAGGTCTGTTACACAGAGAAACACTGTCTCGAAAAACCATAAAAAACTAACAAAAGCAAATCTTCAAAAATACATTGTAAATACTTGGGGACTTCCCAGTCTCTTATGTTCTAGCATTGTTAAAATTTCTGGTACTTTACATTTATAAACTGTCATAGTAAAGCATTTTGTGCTGCTAAGTGCTTTGACTCAAATCTGTATTCTGCTAACCTTGAAAATATGAGTTGTTTATTCTTTTTTATTTCATCTAGTTATTATTAATTAATTGATTGTTCCTTTTGCTTAATAAAGTCTGTTTCTTATGCTGTCTTATTCTCAGATAAGACAGAATTCTTTCTGCATATTTCTTTCCCATTTCCTGTACCTGGGCTCGCATCATCATTTCTGTTGAAGCAGCTCACACAGCTATCATAGACACGTAAGAGAAGGAGTGAACAATAGATTTAATTATGTTTAAAATATGATAAATGTGAAATGGATAACATATGCTGAGCGAAGAAACAACATACACAGCATAAACTGGCTTCTGAGGGGGTTGCATTCATATGGACACACACACACACACACACACACACACACACACACACACTGTGTTCAACTTCCTTGGTTCTGGCTCACTAACTGAACTGCTGAGCCCTTCAGCCTTTTCAACTTACAATCTTGTCTTCTTATTTCCAAAGGCCTCCACTACTAATCATTTTGCTAGGTCAGAACTGTCTTAGGACTATCAACTATGCTGTGGGTCACTGGATTAAAATGGGGAAAATGTTTTCCTTGATTTAGAAGCTGGTAAGACCTAAACTTTAAAAGCTCAAAAAGAAAATCAATGACTCCCAGTATTGTCCTTTTAAAATTGACGGGAATGGGTATGTAGACTAGATCCTCCCCCTTCCATCCTCCCCATTCTCCTCGTTATCTTCCATTAACTCTACATGCAAGGTTCTTTCTGAAATGGGAGAGGCGTGTAAGTATGCCAACCTATTTCTTAAGGTTTTAATCACTCCCTTAAAAAATCAACTACATATTATAACAGTTCTGCAAAAGCTCATCCAAGAAGGTGAACTTTGATAGGAAAGTTTGTCATCATTTATCTAGAAGAATTCTGCAGGATTAGGCTTTTCAGGCCCATTGCTCTTGAGATGTGGCAATCAGGCTCCATGTTGCAGATCCCTTCCAGGAGTGACAGAACTCTGAACAGTGTTTTCTCCATGCACAGTGGGAAAGCAACACCCACAGACCCCGTAGAAGGACTAAAATAAAAATTCTATAGAATTGCTTTTGACTTCAACAAGACATCAGTAATGACCCACTTGGGAGTCTCAGAGGATACAAACAATATGGTCCCTTCCAGAATCTTCTCTAATAAGCATTCACTGCCCTTTGGGGAGATTGGGTCCCTGGAAGAACACCCTCGGGCTTTCATTAGTAAGTCTTCATAGGGGAATGGACTCTGCTGGCACATCGTTGATGGCCTCATATCAATTTCTTCCTTGCTTCTACAGTACCCTGCTTTGCAGAACAGGCACAGGACTCTTTGCGAGGTCTTTGATTTCTTTTTTAATCCTTCACTAGACATTGAAGACAATGAAGGTGATAAAAGGACTCCTTTTATGGTGTGTATTTCAAATTGCCACTTAATTTAAGTTAAAAATGGCTTTCTTTCTTGACAAGTACTGTTAAGAACTCATATAGCCTTTAGGCAATTCCTACAAATGAACCATCATTAGACAGAATTCCAAATGGCCAGTGTACCTGAGATATAACTTAACAGACACACTTCCTGTCCCTTTCTGCACAGTGTTTTGCACTTCAGTATTCTGTCAGCCTCAATTGTCACAATGAAGAGGGCTAATGCAGCCAATGTCATTTATGGCTGGGCTGGCTGCTTTTGCCCTGCTTTTTAAATTGAATAAAGAAGAGCATTGAAGGCATATATATATATATATATATATATATATATATATATTAAATGGCTTCATCCTCCAAGAGCTTCATATTTACTTGTTACTGGAGAAAACCTTCAGTTTCTAATGTCAGCCCAGAGAAGCAACAAAAATGTGGCTGCTGCCTTCTCACCTGCTTCTCCTCCTGCCTCTCCCCTTCTCTCCTCCCCTCCGTCATTTCCCTCTCCTCCCCCTCCTTTCATGAGATTTCCTTGCGGCTTGTAGGGTCATCATACAGTATGACTATCAGCAAAATTCTTTTAAATCAATAAAAACAAATCTCATTTGTTTTTTTGTAAACTTCATTTTTCTGCTGTATTTCTAGCAAACTGAACACTTCAAAAAGGTGAAATGTCAATCAACAGCTTCCAGTCAAGCTCTATTCACTGTCAGAAGCCCCCTGGGTGGGGGGACAAAAGCCGAGGCAACAACTTCTAAGTGTGTTTGTTGTCACAAACTCTGGTGGGACAGAAGTTTTGTCCATTTTAGGAGAACTTGCCTTAAAGAAACTGGAAATCATGTGGGGGCATTCCTTCAAACTCAAGAATCGCCCTCAGATCTCTATTAGAAGTCTAGTCTTGTGATGTACACAGCAGCACGCTAAAGCCACAGAAATCTCTTGCAAAAGGGAAGCCCCTCATCCTTTGATCAGTTGGCTACAAAGCGAATATGAGTCTTGTTTTCAAAAACCTCGCTAACACGGTTGCCTTAGAATTGCCTCTGACTGAGACCTTCCAGACTGGCTTTCCATCACCTGGGAAGGTGCCTGGAGCTATGAGCACGTGTGGGAGAGGTGTCTCCAGCAGGAATTCTGTTTTACTAGGTCAATGTATTTTCCATCGTGTATGTTGTCTTAGACTACAAAGACTTTGGATCCATCCAAAGGTTTCCACTGATATCAACTGGTGGGGCTTGAGTATCACATGTTCAGATGTCATTTAAAGGTCTTTCCAGTTCTCTGGCTTCAGAAGAGACCCAATGAATAAACTATAATACCTTCCCTTTATGTGTATACACACAATAGGATGCCTGAGTCTACACATTTTCCTTTTCTTCAACTATGAGTCAAACCTCCTGACCTAAGATAAATGGAAGATGGATACTTAAGAAAACTACAGTGTTTTTTAAGCTGAGCAATGAGGCCAAATCTTATGCTGACTACCCATTTAACTTCATGTGACTCATGTCTTCATAATAATCAGGTACAGTAGGTTTTCTTTTACTGTGAGTTTGGAGTTTGGCGAAAGGACTTTTTGGTAGCTACTTCCTCCGGGCTGTCCATTGCGGAATGGTAACTGGATGTGGGCAGACTCATCAGCGACAAGAACAACTAGAGAAATAATGATCTTTGCAGAAGAGTTACACATCTGTGCTCAAGTGGCTAGGATTGGATATTCAACCCCTGATCACAAATCTACAAAAGTTGCCATAAGTCTTCAATCACCAGTCTATGCAAACATCCTTCAGTTAGCCTCCTGACAGCGTGGCCCATTGGGACAAAATGGTTCTCATCTTCTGGTCAGTTATTTCAGCATTCTAGGTCTTTCTCTACCACCTTGCCTTTGGACTAACTGGCTTTTCTCTTGGGGCTCCAACCACGACAGGCTCATCACTCAGACTAGCAACCTCCTTCCTTGCTAAGCCTTCAGTAGCTGATAGTGTCTCTTTCATTGGAAGGAGTTTCTACTGCTCCCCAGTCTCCATACTGACTGCCTCCAAATGCCCAGAGACAACCGTCTCTGGTAAGCTGAGGAACTCAAGCTTTGGGTAAGCTTCCAAGGCTTCCCCTTTCCTCCATAGACTAGCATAGCATTGTGACTGAGTGTATATCATTACAAACTTCAGCCAGAATCAAGAAACCAGGGATTCATCTTCTTCATGAAGTGGAGTCTTGTGACTAATTCTGAGAATGGTTTACTAGTGTCTGCTCTTCTGTCCCTATTGTGTACAGGAATTGGGAATGTGGGAGTGTGGGATGTTCTGTCTGTCCTCCAGCAGACAGATGGTAATTAAAAATGGATTCTGGAGTAGAATTTAATTAAACTCCAGGAAGGCAAACTTCCCAGAATGCTTAGGAATAACTTTGGTGGTAGTAGAGATACCTCGGGCTACAGTTTCTCTAATCTTGTTTCTTATAGTTCATCCTTACTAAATTTGGCATCTTTCTTGTCAGAATTCATGAGTCATCTCAATGTAGGCCTAACTAGTTTGTAGATTGTTATTTTTTTAACAGAATAGCTGTGTTAGAATAACTGAATCAAGCCAAATTTAAGAGCATTTGTCTTTTCATGCTGTTATCAGTAGGACACTTTTTATTGCCAAGCTAAGTTTGTCTTTAAAGACTTTAGAAGTCATACAAAGTTCACAAGTCATCATAATTACCTGCCTAAGACCCACCCAAGATAAAGCTATCCAAAAATTTTGGCATAGATTGAGTAGATGACCTACCCCTTACTGGGAAACTATTGCCAGTAGCTAGTTGCTGGAGAAGGAGGACTCCTTCTTAATGGAGGATGTGGCCATTAGTATGTCCTACATGTTCCAGGGGATGACTCCACCCCTGTGCACATATGGGTAGCACTAACTAGACTTATGGGGGTACTTCAATGGAGAGTTGATATCACTACATTCCACTGTATACATTTGTGAAATTAACAGAAACGAATAAAGATTCAAAGAAGATTATGTCTATACCTTAAAAGCTACCATCTTCAAAACTCTACTATGCAATCACTCTAAACTCCCCCCAGTTTGGTGTTAGCCACAAATGACTGTTAGTGACAGATTTTCTTAATAAGACTCTTTCTTCAGTTTCTTCAAACCTCTGTGAAGAAGAGTCTTGCCCAGTAGTAAGATGGAGAGAGAAACAACTCTAGGATTCCTATATAACAACTATAGAGCAGTAGAGAGCATTGCCGTTATTGTTACACCAGATACTATTTTTTTTTTGGTTTTTACGAGACAGGGTTTCTCTGTATTGTTTTGGAGGCTGTCAGTCCAGCCCAGCCTCGAACTCACAGAGATCCGCCTGGCTCTGCCTCCTGAGTGCTGGGATTAAAGGCGTGCGCCACCACGGGCCCGGCCACCAGATACTATTAAAATAAGCTTAGAGTAGCAGGCATATCAGTCTTAAATTTGAAGTAATAATATTTGTCACTAGAAAATAAAATATTAACAGGATAATTCTTAACGAGCCCATTTCATACATATCACACATATATGTTGTAATTGCAATGAGCATGTTATAAATATCGAGGATTAAAAACATGGCACATACAATATTACAATTGCAGTCTTACCTTGGGGTCCTGGGTCTCCTGGGGGTCCGGGTAACCCATCCTTCCCTGGTGGGCCAGGTCTCCCATGAGCTTGAGCAGATAGCATTGCTGCTGGCAGCTTAAGCTGGGATAGAAACACCGCCATCCTCTCTTCATTCATGAAAGAAAAAGATACATCATGTCACTGAAATGTCTTTATGTCAAAGTATTTCTGAATGCTTTTATAAGAAGTTGAAAAATCCATTTCTTATTTAAACACATATTATATACCAACTAGTCTGACTGCTGCGGCTTTGATAAAACAGGATCAGTTGCATGCAGTTGTTTGAAGACAGAAGCAGAACAGCCAGGTTGATCAGAGTGTCTAGGAATTACTAGTGTTCCTGGAACCCATTAGTGGAGTGACCAGAACATTTGTCTAATTAACTTGGTTATGGCTTGTGGAGAGAAGTTTGGTTCATGTTTTTATGTAGGGCACTTTCTAGCCCTGTGTTGAATGTGTAGCAATTTGACATATAGCCACCGATTCTTTACCACCCTTCCATGATTAGAACCCAACCCTGTGTTTTGAGTCATGACTGGATTTACTTTTCTTATGAAAAGAAAAACAAAAGCAGAATGGACAATGTGTAACCGGAAAGCATGGTTCGTAAAAGAGCTTTCCAGTGGCTCTTCAGTTGCTAACCCTGGAGGGAGTCCGTTGACATGCAGGAGGATCACTCACGTGATATTGCCTTGTGGCAACTATGCTAGAGAGCTCAAAGGTGCCCATCCTTCCCCAGGAAAGCATTAAAATGATAGGAACCTCACTTGACTGGGGTCCTATCTGTGACCTCACTACAGAACTATAGGACTAAGCAACCCTTCGAGCTGTTGGCACATTTATCATGTGAACAAATGGGTATACAATCTTCCACTTCACTCACATGTATAGGAATTGCATTTTCTTACATGACAACAGATAACTCATGTTGCAGGTGACTTGAACAACACTGCATTTTTCAGCAGAGGCATTTAGTTACTGAAAAGGTGTCATTGGCTTCATTTCACCATTTAAGCTCGAGACTAGGCAAAAGTGTCACAAGTAACTTTTACTTTTTAAAGAAGGAATCCTATACGCCCTCATTATGATGCATTTTTCTGGTTGTATTTCCAGTTAGTGAGTCATCTGTTCAATCAGGTTGGCAGAAAGAAGGGTGTCTAATTTTGTAAGAGGAAAATATACTCAGCATTGCTGCAGGTGAGAAACCTCTCTCTGAATTTTAGTGGCAGCCATAAAAACAACAAAATATTTCTGTGTGTCTCTGGGAGCCTAAGAAAACACTGGGCCAGCAAACACAAATTATAGGCAATGGAGGGATACATCTTAATGAATTAAGCCCTTCCTAACACAGATGCTTTCCCAAGGGACACATCATAGGCATTGCCATTTATTCATTTAGCAGACTGCCTGGAGCACAGTGCTGTGTAGACGGGTCCTGGATAAAGTGCTCGGGAGTGACAGAGAAGATTAAGTGAGCACACCTCCTCGGGGCTCATCGTCAGCTCATGAAAGCACCCTTCTCCTTCTAGTTGGTGCGGTGGGCTGCAATTGCCAAGTCTTAGACAGTTACTAATGTCATGGTACTTTGAGATAAAAGCACATATGCAATGCTGAAAGTAGCATGTCGGGGCTTAGGGGGATGACTCTCGGGGAAGGGTGATTCCTTACGCACAAGCGTGAGGACTCCAGTTCAGATCCACGGCATGCCTGTAAAAGCTGTGAAGGTTTCTGTGCATCTGTAACCCAAGTGCTGGGAGGTCAGAGACAGGAAGATGACTTGGACTTCTAGCGATCAGCCTAGCAAAGAACTCAGTCTAGGTTCAGTGAAAGACCATGTCGTAGGGAATAAGATGGAGGGCAGACGAGGAGGACATTTGACATCCTCTGTGGTCTTTGTGCAAGCACATGGTCACGTGGGGCACACACCAGCCAACTGCTTCCTGCTCTGCATACACACACACACATGACCCCCTCCATACACACAAGAAGAAACAAGAAAATTGGCGTGTTAATGAGACTTAGAAGAGCCACAAAATAAGTTCAAAGACTGTAAGTATGAAAATATAAGAATTTTTCATTTAAAATTAATTTCTGATCAAGGTTAACTTAGTTAACTAAGCATTCTTTATTTCATTTTTAAGTAAAAATATGTTCCTTCGATTCAGGGTCTCATGCAGTCCAGGCTAGCCTTGAACTCCTGGGATCCCAGCTGTGACTCCCCCACATCTGGCTAAACATTCTCTGTAGCAGAGCTTTGCATTAGGGATTGTGGGCTTTGTCCAGGAATTATAGAATTCAGTCACTGAAACAGATCATTTGAGTAAGAAATATTATGTTTTTATAGGGCACACATATTGTAAAGGACATTTCTAATCTGGTGTCTCAAACTATTCTAAAACAGCTGAGCACCTTCAACTCAGCCCGAGACATCAGATTAGAAATCTGTCAGCTCATGCAAGATATTTCTTGTCACTCTTGAGTTGTTATTAATTTCAGACAGAGCTTTGCTCAGTTAAATTTTATCTCAAGAGCATACTCAGTATTTTAGTCTTGAATTCATTTTGAGAAAATCATGAATTCTCTTATAAATAAAATCTGCCATGGGGCTCCTTAAATTTAGTTTGCTTATATTCTATATATTGGCATTATAAAAAGCTAATATATGGGTGATTAATTTTTAAAATACAAAACTAGAAGAGGGCATAGTCTTGTCATGATGAGAAGAAATACGGTGGTTAATGTTTCTCCTCACCACACAATTTTTTAAAAAAACCACAACTATTCTTAGTAATTCAAATGATACCATTGGTAAAACTGACTTGTGGCTGAGATAGCTCAGCTCGTAAGGGTGCTTGGCACTACCCCTGACTGCTTGAGTCCAGTCCCTGAGATCCATACGGTAGAAGGAAAGTACAGACTCCTACAAATGTCCCTCTGGCCTCCACACCTGCACACATGCTGTGGCACATGTGCTAACACACACAGGTGTCCATGTGAATGCACACACCAATAATTTAAATGGTTACTACCTTTAACGCTTAAACAGAAATATTTGCCACCCTAATTTTTTTCTCTGTAGCATATGAAGTAAATTTACAAGTATTTTGTTTTGGGAGGTTTTTAAAATCATTGTAGCAAAACACAATTATTTTAAACAATTACTTCTAGCTGCAAATGAACTGGCTTTAAGCTACACTAGGAAACAGTCATTTAGCATAAGCTAATTACCTCTTCTGAACCCTACCTTAATGCTCTATAATTGAAACTAATAGTTTCTTAGCAGCTAAGCATCTCAATGAATTGTGAAGGCCTGTATTCTTAATTGCCTTCCCTCTGTTTTCAGGGCTCCTCAGTCATTTAAACTGGTTTTCATCTCTGCTTTCTAATGAGGCAGAAAATTAAAGACTTTAGAAGAGGTGTACATAAACCATTAATATTCCACCTGCCTGGGCAAAACAAGAGACAGCAGTCACAAGGGCCCAACAGTCTGACAGACTGAGGACTTGGCCTCCATGGAGAATGAAGTCCCAGTGACAATGCAGACATTAACATTAATTGAGGAAGTAAGGGACATTCAGGTGTCACCCTGTCCTCCTCTGCCTTTTGCTTCACAAATAGAATTTGTAACTTATTTTTTCAGAGAAAAACGGATCTTTCCTCCTAACACCCATTCACATGTTGAATTGCCCACTTTCTTAGTATAAGCCCTTTCGATACTCCACTGCAGAAACAGCTACATGATAGATCACGGGAAATCCTCACTATTTGATAATATTGTTATCTTTTAGCCTTAATGTTAAAGAATATTCACTCACAGGTATTAATGATAGTCAATGCTATAGGAAAACAATATATTTATTTACCAGAGAGAGAGAGAGAGAGAGAGAGAGAGAGAGAGAGAGAGAGAGAGAGAGAGAGAGAGAGAGAGAGAGAGAGAGTCGCACAAACCAGGAGTTAGAATCATGGCTGGCTTCCAGGAGAAAAGGGAGGTTCCTTTTTCTTTCACTTCCTTTTGTATCTACCTGTGTCAGTTTACATGTCCCCGCCCTCATGGGCAGATAGCTTTGTGGGGTTCACTCCTACACACAGGATTACTTATCTGTTCTGGAGATCACTTTTTGAGTCCTTTTCCATGGATTTCCTGAGTGTCTTTTAACTATGGTAACTAAAATTAAATGCAGTTTTCTCCTATGGGGCAATGCAATAGTGATTTCTTGTGATATCTGAATTATTTCTCAGTTTCTTTTTAATTGTTATTACATATTATGGACTATTTATTTTGTAGTCCATAACGTTATATTTGTTCACAGTCTTTGTAAGCATGAAGATTTGAAATGTAGTCATGGGTAAAGATAGTCGATTGAACACACACATCTGCTTTAAGTCTCCCATGGATGCTCAGAAAAAAAAAACAAGATAATTTGAAAGTCATAAAACTCAAGAATAAGGAGACTCTAAATGGAAAAAGTAGCAACACGACTTTGGAAGCCGAGGATCAGATAGTTGAGGGATACTTGTCTTGGTAAAAGTCAAGAAAACTGAGACTTTATACTGAGAACAGAAACCCCACCAAATTTAAAATGCAAATTCTAGAGACCAAATTCGGTATACAAGTTATCTCTGGAAGTGGGGGCAAAGGAAAGGATTTGAAATAAAGTAAATAGATCGAAAACTCAAGTGTAAAGTAGGTAGAAATCTTTCTCTAAAAAGCTAGGTAGTTAGACTTCCCCAGCCCCAGCAACTAAAGGGTTCCTTTCTAAAAGGGAAGGGGCTGGGGGAGGAAAGGGAAGGGGGAAAGTGAGGTAATTGTGTTTTCATTAAAATGTAAAATGAATAAATAAAGGGGAGATAGACTATCTCTGTATTGACAAGCCCAGACTTCAGCAAGACTCTGACTTTAATACCAAAAAAAAAATAATAAGCGAACCCCTAAGATACTTACTGCTGAGCTGGCAGCCAAGGTAGAGAATTGAAATGCCCCATGGAGAGACTTAAAGACACTGGAATTGAGAGACCTTCATTTAGAATGCCAGGCTAGCTACCCTATGTGAAAACCATGGTTGGCAAGTCCTGCATTCACTCACAACTGCCAGTTAAGTGTTTCAGAACCCATTCTTCTGTATGAACAGACAGCCACAGATCACAGGGGATGGAGAGAATCCTATAAGCCACATGACTGACTCTGTCTGAGTCCCTGGCAAGCAGAAGCTGCAAATGGAAGAAACAGAGTATGTTGTAGAAAACATTTGCTGTATCTCCCATGACGTGTCTGTTGGATGATGTGTATATGCGCAAATACATACACACTTACATTTATCTTAGTTGTAGAGAGGAAAGAGATGTTCCCTGGAAATAGGAAAATGGGATAATAAATTATACTCATTCATTTACATGTATGTGAAAATGGAGAAAGCACTGGCTTCCTGAACACTGAAATCCAAAGGCAGAAATAATTTTAACCTTCCTGCTCTCCTGTAGGTTGGAGTTTGAGGGTTTAAAGAATGGAAAGATTACAGTTAGTTTGTATACACCACTTCATAAGTTTTTCCATATAAATGTAAATGCTTAAGTGTTAAATGGTGAGGTCATGGCAAAATCTATACTTCTCTGATATGCTAAGCCTCTAATTTAATTTAATTTAATTTAATTGGCAGCTGCTAAGTTCTCATAAGGACAAATGATGCTAAAATGCATCTATTTCTGCTCTTTGTGGTCACCCTGTTTGCAAAACAGCCTTGACATATTGGCCAATCAAAGTGGGAATTTAACTTCAGAGTGAATGCATATTTGGATCATGGAGAATCACCTTCCTTCATTTGTTTGGTTTGCGAAGAAGCATTTAACATGCTGAAGGACAGGGTAGTGGCTTGGAGTATAGACCCCATGGCGAGAAGCCTATGAGGTCTAAGAAATTCAAAGGGATTGATAAATCCCTGGAGGAGAGCTTGGGTCCTGGTGTAGGGTTTCACACAAAGAGTCACCTGGACACCAGGACAGTGAATAAAGCATACAGCAGGCTCTCCCAAGGATTACTTTGGACTCTTGCTGAAGAGGGAGGACCCTTCCTGAGGCTGTGGACAGTCAGGTATGTGGAGAGCCTGCGTCAGCCTCCACTGACACCTTCTAGAGAAGCTTACTAGAGTGAAACTGCTAAGATGGCTGTAGATGGGTGTGACTGAGCCCCAGCACTGACTGTACTGTGCTAGTTCACCGAAACTGCTTAAAAATGTGATAACCAATCACCCCATTTGGAGAGAGGGCTTTGTGGAAAAGGACACTGACCTTACAGTGCTATAATTTGTGAAAACGAAGTTCTGCTTTTTTTTCTTTTCTTCTTGGAAAATGGTGTTCAGAAGCCATGGGGAAAAAATCAAAAAGACTGAACGGAAATGGTTTGAGGGCAAATGAGCTTAAGTGCTATCTAACTACACCGTGGGTGCAGGAGCATTATGTGTGGGAGATAACAGATTTGCCAGGCTGCTGCCTGGAGAGCTGCCAGGAGAGGCGACAGCACACATGGAATTGGAGTTTAGAATTTCAAGCAAAAGATTTCTTCTGGGTCTTTTTAGAAAACCACCTTGAGAATGATGCATCTGTGGCTTTGGAGGTAAACAAGTTCTCTCAAGGTTAGAATGTCCTGCCATTCACTGGGACCCTACGTGAGAGGCAGCGGGAGAGATGGGGCTGAAGCCAGAGGAGACATGGGGGAAAACTCTAGAGCAGACTTTAGAACAAATATGTAGAGTCAAACTTCAACAAATGATAGATTAATAGATGACTTATAAGTTTGCAGAAGGAATCTGATGGCACTTAGAAAGGCCTAAGCCTTGATTCAACTTAAAATGTTAAACATCTACATTTTACTACAACAACTACTACTATTTTATTATTTATTATTATTCTTATGGTGTGTGTGTATATATGCATGGGAGGTATGCCGAGGTGTATGCAAAGAGGTCAGAGGACAACTTGTAGGAGGCATTTCTCTCCTTCCACCATGCGGATCCCAGAGATGGAACTCAGGTCGTCAGGCTTGGCAGCAAGCACCTTCACCCATGAGCCACCCCGTCACTTTAAATTCAGCATTTGCATCAACAACCAGAACAATAGCATGCTTACCCATTTAGAGAGGACCCAACGCTGTGTCAGTCATCTTACCTTCCACAAATATTCTAAATTATATTTTCAGGTAGGACCAACGTCAGAACAAAAATCACTTAAATTTGCTTTTGTTTTATTTTATTTATTTTTTTGTGTCCTGGAAGTGAAACCCAGGCCTTAGACATGTCAGGCAAGTGCTCTACCACTAAAGCCTCCTGAAGTTGAATAATAGTAAACGTAAACTGACCTGTTTAAGGTTTTGAAAATAATTTAAAAACTCTTTTAAAAAGCTTTCAGAGGGGGAGAACCATGCTGCTAATTGATGACTCAAAATGAATGATCAGCAAGACTTAAAGGTTTAGAAAAAGCAATGGCAGCCAGTAGAATGTTCATTAGCATGCATGAAGTCCTAGGTATCTGCCCCACAAGCACATTAATAACTCAGATATGGTGGTATGTGTTTGCAATTTCAGCACAAGCAAGGTGGAGGCAGGAGCATCAGGAGTTCTAGGACATCCTCAAGCTACATTGAGAATTCAGGCCAGCGTGGGGTATGTGAGATACTGTTTTCTTTTTAAGACAATGCTATTTTTAAACATCTAGACCTGGGGTGGGCAAACTTACTCTGAAAAGAGTCAGAAAGTGCATATTTAATATTTTGCTAGCTACATGAAATCTGTCACATCTATTCAATTCTCCACCTGTAGCCTAAAAGCATTGGAGAAATATGAAAAAAGTAAGCACGACTGTACCCTAAACCACTTTATGAGAAGCCAAATCTGAATTTAGGTTCATTTTAACGTGCCATTTTGATCTTCTCTTTTAAAAAATGAGGATGGGAAACCCTCTAACAAATATGTAAGAACGGTTCTCAGCTTGTGGACCACATAAAAGTCCATCTGTAGCAGGCGGAAGTGGCTGGGAGTCTTAAGTTTGCTGACCCTGGTATAGATCAAAAGACATTGTAACCTACCTCCATTAAAACACTCATAGGTAAATTAAGCACCTTCCCAGGGCAGCAGGGATGGGTGAGCTGGGCATACTTACTCCATAGAGGAGAAAAATTAAGATGGAGTGGGGTGAGTATTGAACTATTCGAAAGACAGTTACACCAATAGAAGGTACTTTATCTATGTTGTTTTATAGACAACCAGGGAGGAAAGGAAGTTTAAAGAGAAAATTTGGCAGAAGAAAGGAAAACCTTTCTGTCAAAAGGAGCTGGCTCTCCATGAGATGGATCCATTATGATTGTTGTCACAGAGTCATCTTTCAGGAATGCCACTGGAGGAATTCCCCACAGGGAGATAGGAAGTGGATATTAGTGAAAAATTCTCAAGCGTTACAAAGCAAACCTAACCTTCAAAAATCCTTAGGACCTCTTGATTAATGTACTTTTTGATTTCTTCAAATGAAACAGCATCAGCCTAAAGGAGAAAAAAGAACGTCTATTAAAATAAAGCAAAACAAAGGAACAGAAATGCTGGGTTTGGCATACTTTTGTGGATACACATTTGTCAAGCAAAATCCTTTGGGCAGTGCACTATTTTGAGCAATAAGTGCTGTTTGCTGAAATGGTAGGATAAACTGAAGCTCATCGTTGCTTTACAAGCTGTGGCCTGGGATTACAACCAGTGTTGGAGATATTTCTCCTATGAATGAAGAAATGTGGCTGTGGATAACCAGGACATACTGTTTCTGTTGCTTCATTTCTTAAGTTTAGAAGTCCTCAACAATGCGATAGTGTTAAAAACCAACCACAACTGAACATGCACCCCACTCCTGGATACTGACTTCATGTTGTTGGAAGATTATCACATAAAGGGTTTTCTCATTTTTTCCTTTCTCATGTTTTGCCTGTCTCATGCTACTCTAATGTACTGATTAACATAAATATATCAGCCAATTTTTAATTGTTTGTTGTGAATCTAGCCTTTAAGGGCTGAGCCATCTCTGCAGCCCATCGTCAAAATTTTAATGGAAAATACCTGAGACACCTGGTAATTCTAAGTAGGTAAGTAGTGCTGCTGAAGGCTTAATCCTTTGGCAAGAACCCACATTTACAATAGCCATGCTTTACTGAAATACTCTGGCATTTTCAGAAGGGATCTATCACTTTTCAAGATGGCCAGGATTTGAAAGCATTTCATTACTACTGTTTATATGCGTATTTGTTTTCCGAGGCTCCATGTATAGCGCACATTGGAAGTTGTGACGCTGGAACTCCCTTCTGCTGTCAACCACACACTTTGAGAAATGCATAACAAAGCCTAATGGGATGTGCCCAGATGAGGGATGTGAAAGATCTGTGGGAAATTTCCATGGGATGTGATTTTCAGACATGGCCCCAATTATTCCCACCAATTAGGCAGCTGTCCTTAACATGTAAAAGTCCCTGTCTTGGTGAGCTCTCCGCCATTCTTCTCCACAGATTCCTTCATTGCGATTGCATGTTAAGCCTGTGGATGTGATGATAATACTGCGAGCTTGTCCGTTCACAACCTCAGTTCATTTGGAATGCAAGAGGAAAAAAAGACGACACAGTGTCCTTATAAGATACTAATTTCTATTGGTCAGAACCGTTACGTTGTTTTCAATGTGCATCCGGAAAATGAACTTGAATGAAGGTACTGAGAAGGGTAAGCAGACACAGGTCCCACCCCTAACCAAGAATCTATCTACATGAAGTTGGGTGGGTAGGGAGGTGGGGAGAATCTGGTAGGAGTCAAGGAGGGGAAATAAGATAATGTATATTGTATAAAATTTTTTAAATAAAAAACGAACTTGAATGAACAGTCTGATAGTAGACAGTGACACTGAGGTCAAGTTTTGCAGATTTTCCGTTGGCACAGTTTAGGGTGGAGGTAGAAATAAAGAAGCAGGAAGGTTTGGGTAACGCCCTGCTTTTCATCAGTCTGAAGAAAGTATGCCTTTAACCTCCTACTTCATTCCAGGATCCTCCTCTGTTCCTGTCACTGAGATTTTCATCAGCTGAATAGCCAGCCACCTGCCATTCTTCCTGAAATCCTAGTAATGTAAGGGTTGCTTTAATAAGTGACCCTGCTCTTAGCCCAAGTCATTCCTACTTCAAAGCCTGATTCAGGGCAGAAGTGGGGTGGCGATCTGAAAAGTCCCAGGATGAAACAGATGTATATGGTTGTGTAGGAGCAACTATAGGCACTATTGTAAAAACATGGTTGGGGCATGTGTGAGGCTGAAGCAGGAAGGTCATGAGTTCCAGTCCAGTTTGGGCTACACCACAAGATTCCATCTCAAATACCCCCCCCCATCCCCCACATCACACTATAAACAAACCCAACTCCATATGCCAAACCAAGCCAAACAATGATTTTGGAGTCAGCCAGACCTGGGTTTGCCCCTCTTGATAATACTTTGATATTGATGAAGGCAACTCTGCTCCTGCATTTATAAACAGGTGGGGGGGGCCCATTCTTCCAGTTTGGCTGTGAAGATCTAGGATTCAGTGGAGGCATCAACAGAGGACCTGGCACATAGCTTTAAATAATGGTGAAGACCAGCTTGTTTTATATATTGAAAAAGGACTGGTGTTTCTTTCATTATAGAAAGACACATGGTTAGTACGAGCCAGGGCTCCACTTACCGGAGTGCCAGGGATGCCTGGAGAGCCTGGAGGGCCTTGGTGGCCAGGTGATCCTACGGAGCCCTTGCTTCCTGGTGGTCCCACAGGACCTATAGCCCCCTTCATACCCATAAGGCCTGGCTTTCCACGTTCACCTTGGGGACCTCTGTCACCTGGAATTCCCTGATCACCCTGTTTGGGAAGAAAATAAGGAGTCACTCTTTCTAGTAATGCCCCGGTTAATTCCAAAATCCTGGGTCTGTACTGGTATTATTTACTGTGGGTCCTTGGATTATATATGCCTGCCCTGTGGCCCAGTTTGTAACATTTGCATGTGGGAGTATTAACAGTGTCTCTTAGCTAGGGCTATATTGAGAAATGAATGCATCCAAGTAACATGTTTAAAACAATGTTTGATACCTTGGAAGCACTATGCAAACAGACCCTAGTGACAATGATAGTAGTCTTCAGTCTAGGATGATGTCACCTTCAAACGTCAGCACCCACTGCTACTTCAGGTCTGGCTCTCTTTCATGGTTACAAAAGGAGATTGCCAACAGGAGCACCTCCCTGAGACTCTTCACCTAGATAAACTCCAAACCTGCTCTAAATCATCTGGTTATCTCCCCTTTGCATTTTGGTTTGGCCTTCCTTAGATCCTTTGGAGTTTCTCCTACACTCGTGTATTACATGGGTTTCCATGTGTATTCAGTGATGGAAAACATACATCACACAGGAAAGCAAGAGAAGAGAGCTTTAAGACCATCTCTAAGCAAGTGACTGGGGCGGGTGGAGAGGCAGCCATCCCTGAGATGACTTCTTCAAGAGCATAGATGAAAGATAAGAATTTGTCGAGTAAGATGTGAGACTTAGCAATGAGAGGGTTCTAGCTGTGTCTGAATCTGGGAGTTAAGATCTGTAATGTTGCGCCTTTGTTCCAGGTATGTGTCTATACTGTGTGTGCCCCAGGGAAGGGTGACACCGCAGAAAGTGTTTCAGTTCCATGTGTTCAGTTGTATGACTCAGGAGTGAGGTCTGAGCTGAGTGTGACAGACCGGTGCTCAGGGGCTGCCCCGCCTGTCCTGCCTGTCCCGCAGTGTTCCAGTGTTCCCTTATCTGTCATGCTCTGCAAAGGGCTCATCTGTATTTGTCTCCACTAAAAAATCATGAGCAGTCACAGGTATTGATGTGATGTAAGGCGCGAAAGGAGATATAGAAGCCATGAAGAAAGAAAACAGATGACTGTAAATCCAATGATATTGCCTTACAAAATGTATCGATGTACAGAAATCTCAGCTCCTGTCCGGAGAAACTCCCGAGCTTAAAAAACCATAAACACACTTGGATCTATGATCTATATTTTATTATCATATGAACATTTAAATTTTTATGTGTGGGCCCTCGTGAGATAACTGAGCTGGTACCCATCACCCACTGTCACTTCAGGCCTCACAATGTCATATAGCACCCATCACCGTACTTGATGTTCTGGATTTAATCCACACAGGCCACAGGGTGGAGGCAGAGAACTGACTCATAGGTTGTCCTCTGACCATGCATAATTTTTAAAAAATAGGTTTATTTATTTTTTTTACAAAAAAGATGTTTGTAGTGTTTATTATTAAGAAAATAACTGCTTAGAAAAAGAGGACTAGGGAAGCCACATGTAGTTATTGTATATTGCCAGTAGAAAAAAAATGCTTACAGAACCCTGCCAATCTGATTTCAAAAGACTAGATATTTTATATTGATTATATGTGTACATTATATATAAGAGTGACAGATTAAGATACGTTCAAATTATCTAGAGCTTATCCCTGTGTAAGGATGACTGGAAGACTTCTTAAATTTATGTTATCTTGTTTTTCATACTTCCTTCCATTATCATGAATTACTTGTGTAACAGTAAAAAAAACCCAATAAATTAGACACCAGTCCACAAACATAAGGGCAGCCCTAAATAGGGTTATGCAAAGTGACAAGGCTTGAGTAACTTGCATCAGGGACATGAGTCCCAATAGGAGATTAAAATTCAGTACAGAAAATGCTAGTAAGTTTCCATAAGAGCACAGGCAGCCCACAGAGTTCTAGTAAAAGTGCAGCCTGTAACTGCATCTTCTTAGTGTTTCTGTGGATCAGTGGTCCTCAACCTGGGTGGTTTCCCCCCTACAAGGCATTTGGTAATATCTGGATAGTGACAATTGGAGGGACAATGGTGCTAATATATCAAGTGGATAGAGGCCAGCAAGGCTATCAACATTAATATTCTGCAGTGTACTAGATAGCCAAACACCACAGAAACTTATCTGCCTCCAAGTGTCAATCACTGTGGGTGAGAAATCCCTTAGTTGTCAAAAAGAATTTGGGTGGTGGCTATAACTGGCATATGTGTCTCAGACAGGAGGGTGGTAAAACACTTTCCTAAATGGCATAGAAAATCAAGACTCGTGTGTACAAAGACCGACTAACAGGCACACCCTCCACATGACCAGCTTAAGTTCCCCATTCTAGTCCTAGTAGAGATATTGTTTCTTATACATCTTAATCATTTCATGTTGGGGGAACCAAAGTTGTCTACATGCTTTGTTGGGTGACTGAAGTGATGGAACAGTTCCATCAGACAGTGGTGAACAGCAGCCATAGTAGTGATATACATACGCGTTCTCCTTTGGGGCCTCTGTCTCCAGGTTTACCCGTGATGCCCTGGAAAACAGACGTCAACACTAAAAATCAATGCTTGCCAAGATTTTCCATCAGTCTGACTGACCCAAAATGTTTCTGAGATACATGCAGTTATAAAGCAGAAGTCTGAAGAATTCATACTATTCAAATATTTTTTCTCCCATACCTGAGCACCTGGTAATCCATCTTTTCCATTTATGCCCTAAAAAGATAAAAAACAATATTTCTATCCCATGTCTGCACACAGTCATAGTTAAACACATGAAAAAATTACATTACATATTTCTTCAGATATTTTGGTGAGTCTGTATGGCAAAATAGTACATAAAATCAGTACAGTCATGTCTTTGAGTTCAAACTCTGCCATCTACGGGTTCCATTGACCAGGCTCAGGGATTTACTCCATCTGATCAGCAGCAACATCTTCACATATGCAGTGAAGAATGCAAGAACAAGTTTACAACCCAGAAGTAGGCACAACAACCTGGAAAGTGAGGAGTCCCAAGATGGCTTTCTCCACCTTCTATGAAGAACGAAGGTGCCCCCAAAGCATTGAGTGGATGAGCTATGGAGATATTTTATGCCCGTCTTGTGTAGCAACTTTCTCTGGGATAAAACTTTCTGTCTTAGAGGAAGTTCCTTAAGACTCAGAATATTTTAAAGGAAGGTGAAATACTCCATCCTTCAGGGAAGCTTTTAAAAACTCAGGATAAACAACTTGGAGTCTTTAGGAAGTTCCTGAAACTGACCATATTTACTATGCTCCTCCTTCCCCCAGGGCTAGATAAGCAGTAAGGACTTCTGAGAGACGCTTAGACCAGCCAAGCTGCCTTGATGAAGCCCCCAAACAACAGAAGTGTCTGCAAAAGACACTTTCCATCTTCTTGAGCTATCTGTAAGTTGAGCAGTAAGCTACAGGGTTCCATCCTTTGTGAGCGTTTCCCATGGCCATGCAGCTTTCTGGGTATCATCTGTGCTCCTGCCAGTGACCCCTCACCTACACTCCTGTAAGTAATGCCGGTTAAACTCACTGATTCACCAAGTTGGGCTTTTCCACTGTGCTTGCTTTGGTCTGTGGTTGATTCCCTCTCTGTGTGAGGAGACACTCATCCACATCTTCCCAGGAAGAGTGTCAGCACAACAGCCTTCTAGCAGTTTCAAGCACAGACTCCCTCTCTGCAAATGCTGTCACTTGTTTCTGGGGGAATTTCATAGTGTGACTGGAATGTGATCCTACTATAAAATAAACTCTCAGCTGGAGAAAAACTGTTTTTTTCAGTTTGAAAGAATAGGAAACTGGGAATCTGTAACCATAGTTTCTGAGACTATTAAGCAGTGACATTTTCTTTTTTTAATTAGAAAATTGGAACTTCTGGGACCTTTGAAAGGTAATCTGGAAGTGGTCATAAAGCTAGCCCTGCTTGGAGATTTATACTGCTGACAGAGTTGCATGTCAGATATAGAAGGAGGAAAAGGGCTTGGGGTCAAATCAAATACCTAGAGCCCAACTGCAGACGCGGCATCTTTGAGATGTGATTTGAAGAGAGAGATCAAGGTGAGGGGCGGCATTTCCTAGCCAGCAGGTGCTGCACAGACATGCTCTGTGGAAGCCTGAGAGACATTTATTGTGCAGGAACAGATTCCACAAGGACACAGCTGCAGACAGCCACCTGTTCTCACTGCTGTAAATCACACTGGCATCTGTCGCAGTTGGTAACCCAAGCATAGGCTCAGGACTTCTCTGGAAGCACCCTGGGAATTACTGAGAGTACTTTAACTAGGAATATGTTACCTGAAGTGTATAGTTCAGAGAATTTATTAACCCGCAAGAACAAAGAGAGAGCTGATTAAGAAGAGAACGAGAAACAATTGTGACACCCGAATAAAAGATAAATCAAACGTAAAACTGGAATTCATGCTTCGAACCTTTAAAATGTACACAATTTTCTTTTTTAAAATTCATACATATGTACAATGAAACATGTTCATATCCATCCCCCATTTCTCCCACCAGCTCTTCCCGAATCCCTCTTAACACGACCCCTTCCCTGCTTTGTGCTCTCTTCTTTTGATAACTGACTAAATGCAGGTAGCATTGCCTACACACCCATAGGCATAGGATGGGAACCCACCAGTGGGACCAACCTCAGGCACCAACGATTCTCCCTCCTGCAGCAGTTTTTAACACCAACCATTGCTAGCCTGCAACAGCTGCGCAAAAATGTTTGCTTAACAACAACAACAATTCCTACTGTATTCTATCCTGAGAGCTCACTTGCAAGTCTTTTAAAAGATGGCTCAAGGGTTAGGAAGGAGAAATATGTTCAGGGGAGATGACGGGAGGCTCAGAACATTGTTGTGTCCCCTTGGTACTTTCTACAGCCAGCACTGCAGGACTTTCCATACCTCATGCCACCTAATTGACTCCTGGAACACCCAGGGTCATACCTCAAGCCCAGAATGACTGCCTCTGAACAGCGTATGCCTTTTGTCTTTTGCATTGTCACCTCTGCAGAGATGAGGGCCAGAGAATTCATCAACTGAGTGTCAGAGAAATATAACAACGTTCCTAAGGTCTGTGCTACTTATTTTCAGTCCTTCGCTTCCATACACGACATAGCAAATGACTAGCACCTTCTGTAAGAAAGAAATTGGATAGGCTGGACAGGTGGCTCAGGGCTTAAGAGCATTTGTTGCTCTCACTGTGGACTCGGTTTGGTTCTTAGCACCCATCTGATGGCTCACAGTCCTCTCTAACTCCAGTTCCAGAGGATCTGATGCCCTCGTCTAGCCTCCGCGTACACTGGGCACCCATATGGTACACATACACACATGCAGTCACTCAAACGCATAAAATAAATATTCAGGGAGGAAAAAGAATCCTTACAAAAATCCCAGAACTTCATGCCTCTCTCCAGGCTCAGCACACTCTCAAGTTCATAGTAGGGCCTAGATGTATAAATGCTGGGTGGCAATGACTGTCACTGTGTCATAGCAATACACTAGCTCTTTTAGGGCACTGGGCATAACACACCAGCAGCAATGGTTATGACAGCATCCGGACAAGGCGAGTGTATGAAGGAGGAGTTTAAGAAAAGGCTTTCTGCTATAGTTTATCACACAGGTGCTGTGCCAGAGAGCTGTTGACTTCTTCAGGTTTTAGGATATGAAAGGACATTTAATTTGAATGCTACTGAAGTTACTAGACCTAAGAAATAATGAGTCTATTAGCACTTAGAAAAATCTCACCTTGCCGCATTATTGCTTAAGTTATAAAGACACTACATAGAGATCTAGGAAACTCCTGGAGGAATTCGCAGCCAGTAACCCCAAATTCACTTTTTAGAATATGTCTGCATTTCCTTCTGAAATTTGCTTGATCAAACCTTACATTTCTGAGGAGGAAGGTGAAGAGACAATACCTAGAACATTTCTTAGAATAGCAGTTGTTAGCTAATAAGCACTTACTGGCTTCCCTGAGGGTCCCTCTGGTCCAGGAAAACCTGTATCTCCAACAGGTCCTCTTTCACCCTATAAACATATGCCAAGAAAAAAGTTCATTGGTAAAAATTTCTATAAAATAGCATCGAGATACTATAGCAGTGTGCCTGCTGCTAAATTGGTGGTAGCTCACCGGCTCCCCTGGAACTCCTGGAGGGCCTGGGGCACCGGGTTTCCCCTATAAGAAAGCAAATAAAAATGTTAGCAGCAATGTTACCAATGCCATGCCCATATACCTACACAAGAGTTTAAAGGCTACTATAGTATTTGGAATAGTATATGTTCTGGGGGCACTCCAGAGTCCTGAGGAGGAGAAGGAGGATATTTTTGAACACATTAAGCCAAAGTACCCTCATTATTGGATGCCCTTCTGTCTTTTGTTCCTGGCAGTTCTTTCTTACTCTAGGGCAGTGGTTCTCAACCTTCCTAATACTACTACCCTTTAATACAGTTCCTCATGTTGTGGCGACCCCCCCAACCATGATGTTATTTTTGTTGCTACTTCATAACTGTAACCTTGTTGCTGTTAGGAATTGTAGTGCAAATATCTGATATGCAAGATGTGTTTTCATTGTTACAAAATGACCCAAAGGGGTGGGACCCATAGCTTGAGAACTGTTGCTCTAGGGGATGGGAGATGGAGGTGGGAGTTGGGGTGTGTGCTGGTTTTGTCAAGTTGACACAAACTAGAGTCATTTAGGAAGAGAAAACCTTAATTGAGAAGATTCCTCCATCAGATTGGCCTGTGGACAAGTCTGAGGGACATTTTCTTGATTAATGATTGATGTGGGAGGTACTACATCTGGGCTACCTCTGGGCTGGTGGTCCTGGTTGTATTGGAGTGAAAGACCACAGAATGGGATGTATGGTTTAGCAACCTTAATTGCAGAAGGGCTATAAACCCACAAAAGGCCAATTTCAGGCTGCTGACCACCTGTGACGAACTGACCAGGGTGTCAGAGATGGGCAAACAAGACTTGTGGGAAACAAGGAGATGATAACCACCATTTACTTAGGGAGAGATGATTAACTCATACTAAGGTCTGAGGAATTTACAACAGGAAGACACCTACTTCCCCTGGTCAGTAGTCACGTACCCCCGTCACAAGATAGGGACCCCTCCCAAAGGCTTGTGGTTTTTTGTCTTTAAAAGCTGATTGTAACTGAACCTCGGGGCCAATCGGTCTAAAAGCTGACTGAGAGGCCCATCTGCAGATGCCTAATTAAAGCCTCGTGCGAGTTGCATCAATTGGCGCGTGGACTCTTGATTCTTGGGGTGACGAATCCAGCTTGGGGACCCCTCCTCAATTCGGGGAACCCCAACAGGAGATGATATGAAAAATAAAACATTTTATTTGAAAAGCTGTATTTGGGTAAAAGGCTGAGAAAAAAAATATTTCCCCCTCAATGTGCCATGGTCCAAAGGACAAGAACCAGGAAGCCCAGAATCAGAAAGACCACAGGAAGAGGAAGGGATATGTGGTTTACACAGGTTGAAGGTGAAATGTGCCCTTGACCTTCAGCTGGTGGTGGTTTAGAGAGTCTGTAAACCTTTAGGACTGTGGTTTTACTAGCAGAAACAAGCAGACTGCTCAGAGGCAGGCCTTGAAGGTCATCCATTTCTACTTCCTGCTGGAGCTCACTACTGTTTGATTGACAGACATTCGAACAAACAACAGTCCAAGCTCTTTCTGCACCCCCACGCCTTCCCTGCCCTGATGAGCTTTGCCTATGGACTTTGAACCTTAAGTTGCTTCTGTTAAGTGTTTTGTCACAGTGATGGAGGTTACTAACAGCGTCTAGCAGAGACTATAAGCAAAGTGCAGGTGCAGGGCGTCACACAGATCTTCCAGGCTTTGCCTCCAGAAGAAGGACCTTGCCTCCGGGGGTCTAACCATGGCTGCAAAAGTTGTTGCGGGGATATAAGAGAGCATTTGAGATTTTAAAAGGGAAGGGCCCCCTTTTCAACCGGTTTTAGAATCTGGGAGGCAATCCTTCTCAGTGAAGGGAGGAAAAAAAAGATATTCTAGAGAAAGTGTAGGGAAAAGGGACCAGTCAAAGAAACACACCCTGAGCCAAAGAAACACATTTTGGCCCTGCAACCAGAACCAAAGAAATGTACTCTGACCCTGAAACCAGTGCCAAAAGAACACACTTTGGCCCTGGAATCAGAGTCAGTGAAAGAAATGTACCCTGGCCCTAAAATTGAAGCCAAAAGGCTAAAAAGGACCAGAGAAAGAAGCACACTTTGGCCCTGAAACCAGAGCCAAATCTAACCCTAATCCTGTGCAGAAAACTAACCAATCTTGGAGCAGAGCTCTAGCTAATCTTTGCTCAGCATTGAAATCTGACCAATCCCCACCCTGGAAGCCCTATACACCCTGTGTCTGTTCTTCTTTTGCTGCAGCAGTGACAGAGCAGAGGCGACCCTGGGCAGAGCAGACCAAGCAGTGCTGTAACACTTTTGCCGGGGAAACCTTTGGCAGAGAGGAGTTGTTAGACTCCACTCTCTGCCATCTGCTCTCCAGGAGCAGAGCTGAATTGTAGCAACTTTGCCTGAGAAACCTCCTGCGGAGCAAAACTGCTACACTGGGCAAACATCCCCAGCTGGAAGACCCTGTCCTGCCGAGTGGAGCCAATACACTAGGGAAGCCTTTCCCTGAGGCAGGGCTGTAAGCTGCTAAGCTTACTACAACCTGTGGTGGTCCTTGCCTTCTGAGTTCCAGGATACCTTTCCACCCGAGCTGTGTAACATTCAGTTTTCTGTGACTCCTGAGTGCCAGAATACCTGACCCATCCCGATCTGTCTGAAATGCCAACAGAAAGCCCTGGGTAGCCCTGGAAACACAGGAAAGAGACTACTGTCTTCTAGGAAGGGCAGGACTGGGTTTGGTGACCTACACTGAATAGTCTTGACAGGTCCAACTGGCTTTATCTTTGCTTCAATACGATAATCACCTCAAAAAATTTAGACAGTACTGGAATACATCTCTATCTCTATTACCTGTACATCTAGAGATAGGTACTCATTTGACATGTATTCATTTGAATGAGTGCATTTACAATGTCTTGTAGCCATTATGACTTCTTGTAGGCCCTCTTAGCTGTTACTTTCTAAGGACCAGTTTAAAAATATTTATTTTGAATTGCACAATTGCACACGTGTAGTAGGGCAAGTTTTTACCCTTTCCTGATTCTGAGGCTGTCAAGTGTTCCTAAGTTTTGCGATAGCAGCTTTTAAAGTGAATTTATTGATGTTAGGTATTCAAATATATGCCTGATATTTCAATCAAACTTCAGCCTTCAAACATCCTTCTGCAATTGCTCAATTAAACTGTCTTTGGAAACAATTACACATGCTTTAGTTACTTTACTGAAGACAGACTTAATATATGGAAATAGCAGACAGTATTTTGAAGTCACATGTAGATGAATGTAATGGGGAAATGAGTTTCTTTGTGAGGATAAGAATGTGAGTGAAAAGGAAAAGGTATGAGACAGTATTCTGAGTCCAGTTCCTGAAAGAGAGCCCCTAATGCTGGTGAGGAGGAGAGTCAGATGTGTGTGGAGGGCGTAAGATTAGGTGCGAAGTCTACTTTCATAAAGAGTCTTCATTCTATACAAATTCCAGAGTGCGTGCTAGGAAGAGTAGTTTTCATTTCTTTTTTGCTTTTATAATTATGCACATTTTAAGTCTCAGTCTGGACAAGTGTAATAAGAAATGTCATTCTCTGTAAAGCATGTCCACAATGGGTAGCGTTTTATTATTTATTTGAGTTAGTTAAATGTAGTAATGAGTGGTCTGTGGATGGCAATGGATGATGGTTGGACTTAGGTTGTACAGGGTAATGCTAAGTGGTATTAGTGGTAAATGGCAATGGATGGTGGTTGGACTTAGCTTGTACAGGGTAATGCTAAGTGGTATTAGTGAGGCAGCAATAGGGTGGAGCTGAGAGTAGGGAGAGTAGGGCCCCTTCTCATCTCCATGGTGCTCCCACTAGCTACCCACGCACATGGCTTCCATTGACTTTCTTGTAATGTGGTACTGGACTTTCCCTGCAGGGTCACCTGGCAAGAGGATAAATGGCCTCTTCTTCCTAAACTGTGACCACAAAATTTTAATGAGGGCATCATGAATGAAGATCAGAATTATCCCAAGGGCTCAAATAAATGATTTCAACCTTTCTGGGAGCACTTTCTATTCATTTGCAAGGACCTTGGTGAGATTAAAGCATTTGACACCAGAGAGCAACAAAAATGACTGAGAGGGTTGAAGGCTGGTTTATGAGGAAACATTAGCAGCAATAAAGCTCTGCTAATAACCCTGGGTGAAGCGAGCACCCAGGCAGACTACAGCTTAACGCGGGGAGCCCGATGTACGTGCTCCAAGATGGGAACAGGGCCTGTGGGAGATAGAGAATGGCTGAAATAAGACAGGGACAGAGAAAATGAGTTTTCAGAGCTGTGCACACACACTAATGCACACCCATGGGTACCTGGATTTCCTCTCTCCATGAAAGAGACTCGGGAAGGAAAAAAAAAAGACAAAAAGGAGGGGAAAGGTCAAAATAAAAAATGAACATGCTAGAATGGAGCGTGGTGCAGGCTCTGGGCAACTGTTGCTACCAGAGTCACAGTATAATACAAGCACCCTTGATCACTAACTATAGATTGATTATAGATATAGAAATGTGTGTCTGCAAAGCTAACATGAAATAAGCCAAACTCACCGACACGCCAGCAATTCCTGGGGGACCTGCTGGGCCTCGATCTCCCTGTTGAGATTAAAATAGAAATGGCTACTTATAATGACAGCTATAGACTCTTTACTTTTAAAATCACTGTTCAAATAGTAATTGGGCATGATATTGTGGATGGAGGAAATTTCACAAAGTCTTACCCCTAGATGAAAAGTGCAAAGAGAGAGAGAGAGATTCAGTCTTCTCCAAGGATGAATCTCCTGATAGATTATCCAACTCTTAGTGGCCAGCCCTAAACACACACACACACACACACACAGACACAAACATACACACACACACACAGACACACACACACAGACATACACACACACACTCTAAAGCAAAACTAAATGGCCTCAACAGACTGTATTTATATCAAATTATATATGAGTAATAATGAACAGGAGGTCACGAATTTGGAGGGCAAAGGAGTTGGAGGAATAGAGGAAGGGGTAGAAATGTTGTAAATACAATACTTATGTGTATAATTAAAAGAAGTTGGATTTGTAAAGCCTTTGTTTGAATATAATAAGTGCTATTGGTATTAACTTGTATAAAGAAACCTAGAAAATCAGAAAAAATGAATACACAATTCAATCCATTATATTTTCTTCCTCTAAACAAAGTAATTCACAGTCTTAATGAAAATCATTATTCATGATATCACTTTGGCTTACTTCAAGAGGAAACTGTATATCCTTACAGCTAAATTTAGTCAATATTTAAAATTTTATACACAATGAAAATTATTACTATGACCTGAAAACTTAATCATACTGAATGTCTCTTGAAAGTCCTTTCTTTACCTACTCCTGTTGGATGCAGGATTAGAATAAAAACTATTGAGAACTAAAGAGCTGTAGTTCTTTTCCATGATCAATCAGAAGTTCCATTTAATTGCTGTTAAAAACAGAATAACTCATGTGGTGTTCAAGAGGCAGTGTAGTGCTTCAGATACGGTTGACAGTACTGCATGTGCTGGTGATTACACGTGATAAAAAATGGCAATTTTGTTATGTAGAACCCATATTTAAAAAACTTCATAATTTTGCTTAGGGACATAAAAGAAGACCTGATGAAATCAAGAGGTATGGAGTGTAAGACAATGCTGTAATTTATGTACTTAGGGTGGTTGTTCACGACTGTTTGAACAAAAATATTAAAGTTCACTTGAGATAATAAATGAGAGGATGTAACAAAAATATTAGAAGAATAATAGACAATAGCAATACTGATATTTAAGCCTATAGTAAAGCTATAGTTGAAATAATGGAATGCTGGTATAAAGTTAAGCAATATGTCAATGCAAATGAATATAAATCTTAGAAGTACAGCAGCATTAGTATTAGGGATTTTAGGAAAGAGAGAGCAGTGTCAGAGGAAAAGTTAAAGACTGAATAGATCTTTATACTGTATTTCAAATAAATTCAACATAGGGAGATGTAAAAATAAGATAACATTGACTTTATAAAAGAACTAAAGGAATCTATTGGTGACTATCTGATCTTGGTTGAGAAATGAAAGTAAACATAAAAAAATCCAAGGAAGAAATAAAAAACAGTTCAGATTTGACTATAATAAAGTTTTTACAGTAAGACTAAAATTAGAAACAGAAAAGAAATGTCCAATTAGGACATGGACTGTAACAAATAGATAATAGAAGTAATATCTTTAGAACTTAAAGCCCCTGTTAAAAGAAAAATAAATAATGCATGATCTAACTCATGTAGGAAAGTAGATTCCATAGACACAGATAATCCAGGAGTGGTTAGCAGAGGTGAGAGGGTGTAGAGGCGAGGAGGGGGTGTGAAGTTTGGTCAGGCAATACCAGGTTACAGTTACACAGAAGTAATATCTTGTGGTGTGTTGCACAGTAGGATGGCAATGGGAGATAACATGCTCTTTATTTCAAAGTAGTGAGAGGAGTGGGTTTTCAATACACTTATCCCAAAGAAGTAACCAGTGTTGGAAGTGGTGACATGACAAAAGCCCTGATTTGAGCATCTTACACTGTATTAGAAACTTCATAGTTTACCTGTAAATTATTATGTGTCATCTTGAATATACCATAACTTTTCACTCAGTGGAAATATTTACATATCTAATAAATGCGCAGAGGGCCTCCAGTTTTTAATCTCTCTCCTCTAATCATCTTGCCTCACTTTCTCGTAGTTACATCTGAGATACAGTCAATATTTACATTCTCTCCAGCATCTCATTCTCACACACCCCAGCTTTTGGCCATCAGAATCCCACGATTCTCGATTCATTCATGGTTCAAACTTTTCATTATCCTTCACTCCCTGCATGGTCTGATTCTTTCATGGCTCGTTAAAATTCCTTGGTTATTTGCTTTCATCTCTCCCTATTGTATACCATTAATCTCCTTTTGATACATTTGTGTTTAACTACTCACTTTGTCAAAGCCAGGACATTGCTTAAACCCATTCTTCTACTGTTTTGTGTCTTTGCTTGAAAATCTTCACTTGACTGGGGAAACATACACAATTGTAAGGACTGATCTAGCTATGTTTAGTAACCGTGGCTTGTCTTCCTTGTTTAAGCTCATGACTACCCATCACACTAGCTGCTTTATTATGCAGCTTGGTGTCTTCTTTGACAAATCTTTATTCTTTTCCTACATTTAATCAATCAGAAAATCCTGTTTATTATTTCCTCACACCGTGTCTACAATCCAGTCATTTCTTACTCTACCCACTGCTTCTATTCAGAGCCAACCAACATAAGCTCCATTGTGAATACTGGATGGCCTGTTCCTCAAAGGAAATCTGTGTTGCAGATTTACTGGCCTCTGGTGCCCTTGGGAGATGGTAGAAACTTTGGTAGATGAGGCCTCATAGAACAAAGTCAGGTCATTGAAGGTATGACCTTGAAGGGAATATTGGAACCCTAGCCTCTCTTTGTTTCACTCATTTTGATTTCTGCCTGTCTTATGCTCTTGCATATTGTACACCCTCGCCAGACCTCAAAAAGCAATGGGGCCATTCTGTGAGACCAGAACAGGAATAAGATACCTGGCAAATTAATGGGAGTCCAAAACAGGAAAACTATACCTGGCAGGTTAAGGGTTCTGTTTGCGTTAAGACAACTAAGAAGAAGTTCCTGTTCATCCTGGGCATGTTAAGGTTTCTGTTTGTAGTTTGAGAATGAGCTCCTGTTTGTTCTGTGTTAAGCCCTTGCAAGTTAAGGTTTCTATTTGTAATTAAGAATAAGTTCCTGTTTCTTAGATCTGATGTAAACTGCTGGCAGCCCCGTTTACATGAGGTGTATCTGTCCCCTTGCTCATTCCTTTTCATTGTATCCTTTCAACAATGTATAACAGTCAACTTTCTCGCCTCTGTGGACACCTCATCTCTCCAATAAAATGGACATCAGGAAGGCTAGCAGGGGTTGCTCTCTCAAATCCTTACTGGCCAGTCCCCAAGCACAGCTTGCTTTAACTGGGCACTCACGGATTTGACCTTTTCTCCTCTCGATTCTCAGGCCTAACATTTCCTCTGTGACTCCTTCCGGTTCTGTCTCCAGCTTCCTGCTTGAGTTCCTGCCCTGACCCACTGATGATGGGGTGTGTCGTGGAAATGTAAGCCAAATAAACCCCTTCATCCCTCCAAGTTGCTTTTGCTGAAAATGTTTTATCACAGCACCAAAAAGAGCACTAGAATATTAGATAATGCTGGACCCTTTCATCCCTTCTAGCTGAGAGCACAGCCAGCACCATCCCCCCAGTGGCCACACTGAGCAGCACTGTCTGATGTGCTGGGCCCATCTTTCCACCCTATCTCTGCGTCTCCGACCTAAAATCCAAGACGTCTGCATTTACACATTCACCTTCCTATTACCCCTGGCGCTGGTGACCTATCTCGGGGTCTTTAGCTTCATGAACTGTTATTTCTTCAAACTCATGAGGACACGGCTAACTCATCTCCCTTAGGTCACTATTCAGCTCTTATTTTCTTGACTATCATATGGTTGGTGTTGGAGGGACCCCTACCCCCACCAAGCATGCACGAGACCCTTTAACCTGTTCAACTTTAATTTCTTTCTGTAGTATTTTCTGATAACTGTTTTTATCATGCATTCCCCATTAGTCCCTGTATCCCTCCCTAGAAAACAAGTGTATAAATGCTTTGCTTGTTCTGTTCCCCTAATAATTCATAAACATAAAGCAGTTACTGCTGTATTAGCAGGTAAACACATACTTTTGAATATTGAGCAAATTCAACCTGTGTGCTCACCTTTACACCAGGAAATCCTTCCAGTCCCGGCAAGCCCATCGCACCAGGCTCTCCCTGCAAAACAGGAAAATGTAACATGCAGGAGCAATGGCCAAGGTGTAGAAGCAAACCTCACGGGCTTTACTTCCCACACCCCTCAACACTGATTTCAAACTTGGTTAGCGAATAGTACCCTCTATTTTCAAGCATTAGGTGTATGAAAATAGCTTGGAAGTTAAAGCTATTCTCTGGGCCTGAGTCCATTTTCCGATTAATTATTTTTATTCTGATTACGAATCTAATCAGGATGAATCCCTGTAGTATATTAATAATTCCAATTTCAGTAAGAATTAGAATGAGAAGCAGGTTTTAATAAAGTTTGCCAATTTGTGAGACACCTGGGGCTGCTAGCTTATGATATTGTAAGATTGAACTCTTTAAGTGTGAGTGAAGCTGGAGTCTCAAAGCAGAATGTAGTATCCTTAACATGGATTGCAAATGCTTAGGAAGATAACCCCAATAATATAAGTTATTGCTCAAGCTGACAGGTACTGAAAGGGATAGACCAGCATTAAAAAAATAAAAACAAAACAAAACAGCAACAAAATCTTTATGTAGTCTATCACATGGTCCTAGACCTATGTTGAAAAATGCTGATGATTTGAACAAGTAAATGTTATCATCAAGAAAACTGTAGAGTGGGTCCAGAGAAATGCTCAGCAGTTGGCTGCACTTGCAGAGATGGGAGTTCAGTTCCCAGCATCCACAGTGTTGCTCACCACCACCTGTAACTGCATTTTCAGGGGGAATCTGATGCCCTCTTCTGGCCTCCTGTAGGTACTGCACACATGTGATGCATGTACTAGTCCAGGCAAAGAACAGAAACATAAACAAATCTTTAGAGAAACTGTTAATATGTAGTTATTTGATAATTTCTTATGAATTAATTACTTTTAACTAAAATTATTTTTCCTAGGATGCTAGATGCTTTAAAGATCACAACACTGGCTGGTGTGGTGGTACATGCCTTTAATCCTACCTCCTGAGGGGCAGAGGTAGGTGGGTGCCTACAAACAAACAAACGAACAAACAACACAGAAAAGCCAGCTTTCAAATTATATTCTTTGCATACAAAACACCATTCTGCTTGAAGATATTTCTAAAGCCGCAATATCCATTGCTTATCCCCCTATTGCACACACCTAACAAGTCAGAGTGCAACTTGGTATGCTTTATGTTTCAGAATTTTTTAACGCTCAGTAGTCTATAACCTGTCAATCACAAGAATAAAAAAACAAAAAGGAGCTCAGATTCTTTTCCGTGTAAGTCTGTGTGAAGGAGGCCCCGAGTTATCAATGCATGGGCTATATCCTGGTAGCATACCGTCTCTTTGTTTACATTTTCAGCAGTCTTTCCTTATAATAGAAGAAGCAATCAATTAATTAATCAGCACTTTTGAGAGTAGATAATAATTAAATATTTAATTGAAACCACTGAAATACTGAATAGCTAGTGAAAAGAAGTTTTCTGCATCAGGAAGCCATTCAGTTATTACTATATCCAACCGAAGGCATTTTTTTCTTTATAGAGGTTTATTCAGAAGAGGATCATTGCTGTGTGTTGTATCTTGAATCTTAACTATCTTTCCAGACAGCATGAGTTTAAGGGCTGATCTGCAATGTGGCTGCACACAGAAGCAGGATTCAGGGGGGCTCTGACCTCATCAGTTAACCCGTTAGAGATTTGTAGCTTATTAGGCTTTAGGGATGGGGCTTGGTTGTAAAGGAGAGCTGTCTTCTGCTTCCTGCCACCATGAGACTATCAGCTTAGCCCCACTAAGTGCTCCCTGGTACTCACTCTGACTCACCACAGGCTCAACAGAGCAGATGGCAGTGGACTGAAACCTTTGAAACTGTCAATCAAAACTAGTATTCCCTCCCCCTAAGGTGTTTATCTCAAGTATTCTGTCACAGTGACACAAAGCTGACTTAACTTCTCATGGAACTTGAAGGATACCAGAGAGTACATTCTGGAAGGTAGAGTCCTTTCACTCCAGATTTATTCCTGTACTGTGGGGTGCTGTTTCTCCATACCCAGAACGTGGTGGGAGATGATGAGAATAGCATGTGGGTGTGTCCATATAGGACCCAGAGCAGTAATTTTAATGATCAGTGTGAATGTTCACACAATATTTAGTTTCATGACTCATATTTTTCTGTACATATTCTAAACGCAGAGACTATCCTTCACTTCATTTTTATTCTTTATCCTGTTGCAGCTAAGAAATATGGGACCTGATTTCTTTAAATTCTACTCAAACAGTCTTTAGTTTTTGACCAGCTACTTCTCAGCGCTAATAAATTGTAAGTTACTCTTTAGCATAATTTTGGGGGGGTTGAGACAGGGTTTCTCTGTGGTTTTGGAGGCTGTCCTAGAACTAGCTCTTGTAGACCAGGCTGGCCTCAAATTCACAGAGATCTGCCTGGCTCTGCCTCATGAGTGCTGGGATTAAAGGCGTGTGCCACCACTGCCTGGCCTTAGCATAATATTTTTTAAATATTCTCACCTTAACCTGAAATTATTAACATGAGAACTTGGAAAGAATGTTCCAAAAATGTTAGTGAGAAGTCTGAATTTATCTATATGACTAAGAAGAGTCCTGCTCTATAACTCTGTAGGAAATTAAGAATAGAGGAGTTTCTATCAATACGATGTAAGAAAACAGAAATAAAAATGAACTGTATTTTCTAGATTAACATATATGATAGTATTTTTAAGATGCAAACAAAGAAAGACTAACCAATTATAAAAGAAAGGAAACTTCTATATAATGTATTTGGGGTTCAGAATATAGTACTAAGGACTTGAAATAATTATTTCAGGGTAAATAAGATAGACATCATATGTATATCGTTTAGTAACAAAGATAGTTTCTTTGATAAATCTCTCCTTGAAAATATTTTTATATATAAAAAGTTACTTTCTATGGTTTGTCTCCTTTCTGGTTTAACATTTATTCAGACAGTTTTACCAACTTCAACTATAATAAAAAGACTTAATCTTTTCCCCCACATAGCAACAGAAAGTGGTTTGAAAGCCTATTTCAGTGTTAGGAACATTTAAGTTTCAATTGTCTCCTCAAAGGTTACAGGATATACAAATGGAACATGAAGGATGGAATGTTTGCTTGAAAAGGACATGGCAGGGGAGAAGTCGCCAAAGGTTAAAGGGAATCTAATTGAGTCTGGCAGAGCTTTCGTCGTGAGGCTCCACGGTTGAGAAAGATGCTGAGGAAAACTGCCATCCTCTGGGCAGCTGGAGGACATGCTCTCCTTCTTTGCTGAGTGTTAACCCTCAGATATATTCCACTCAATGAGCAGGTTTATGACAGTCTGCATTCCCCGCAGAATAATCGCCCAAGACATGCAAAGTAAATAAACAGTCCTTTCCCTGGTTTTGCTGGCAAGATGTCAGACATATTAAGGAATTTCTCTCCCTTCAGTATTTCTCTTCCACGAGCTACTTAAAACTGAATCAATCATCCGAAGAAGGCCATTAGAGGGGAGCGTTCCATTTGTCAAGAGCATTATGTGTGCCTTCCTACAGCAGAGGGTGGTTTTTGAAACCTGCTGATGGAAAGAGGCAAACCTCAAGGGCAGGGACAGTATCAGGACTAATGCATCCTGGAAATAAAGGACACGTTTGCTGGTGTATCTCTGTCTGCTTGCTTGTCTCTGACACCTTAACTGAGACACACCTAGGAAGGCAAGACATCTGTGCTTGGGACCCTTTGTAGTGTTAACAAAGACTACTACACCAAGGTAAGAACATACATACCACTGGGCCTGGATCACCTTTTGGGCCCTAGAAGAAAAGATTAGAAAGACATTTTAATTGCTACTAATTACAGTAACAGTATCTGAAGCATTTTTCTTCAAATGTCCATTAGCAAATGGAAGGATGGTACATATTTTGCTTTTGCTGCAGTTTGGATTTGAAGAATAAAATTAAGAAATGTGCTTGGGGTCTAGAGGGATGGCTCAGTGATTAAGAGCACATAATGTTCTTCTAGAGGACCTGAGTTCAGATCTCAGCACCAGTGGGGGGAGTGGTTCACAACCACCTGTAACTCTAGCTCCAAGGAATGCAGTACTCTCTTCTGACCTCTACAGGCATTACACACACACACACACACACGCACGCACGCACGCACATGATTAAAAATAAAACAACTCTAAAAATCCAACATGTTGCTATTTTTATGAACATGATTGGGTGTTGATTTAGAACTCAGATTGACAATGAGAAATGTGACACTGCTATGCTAAATATTTTCCATTATAAGGCTTTGTGCATTTTTTCTTTTATTCAAATTGGTTTCACTTATCATTTATTCCTGTAAAATTTGGTTACATTTGTGACATTCAGTTTTCAGTGAGCTTGAGAGATCTCACCCATCATTACTGTGATCTAGCTAAATCAACTTAAAGATAGTTATCTGTACTTACAGGGGGACCCGGGGGCCCTGGGTAACTGGGAACATTTACTCCTCCCTTCAAAAGAAGAACAAACAGATGAGGAGTGTTTATGGAACCCTGTAACTGAAAAATGATCATAGACAATTAGACATAGAGATACCTGGATTTTGTATAAACTGCTCATGCCATTTCCTTCATTGGGTGGAACACCCTTAGGGAGAAATAAGATGCAGAAGTTAGCATTTTGAACTTCAGTCATTTTTACCAAATGGTTAACTTAACACAAAATACCATAGTGTTTCAATGTTTCAAAACGGGAAAGCAGAGCTATGTCTGGAGCGCACAGATGTTTCCAGTTGGGTTTGAGTAGTGTTCAAGCCTGCAGATGAGGCACTAATGCGTTCAGAGGAAAATATTATTTGCTTATTAAAATTCAGTTTCTGAGTTGCCAGTTTACCGTGTTTCCAGCCTGCTGACCGGCAGGCAGCCATGCAGGAGGACTGTTGAAGATGTGTACAGGGAACAATTTGGCTACTGCAAAGTGATGTCTTCCTGTGGTCTCTCCAAACCAAACAGAAAATTAAGGTGAATAGGAGGACAACTTCATTCACAATCCTGTGTGGATATTTTTACAAAAACTGGGGAATGAGAGCTTGCCCCCCCCCAAAAAAACATACACGTGAACATGGAGCATGAAAAGAGAACTCATCATCGTGCATTCTAAAAATTCCCATATGCAGGAAACGCACATGAGTCTTCCAGTATGGAAACACTTAGGAAGGACAACGGGCTCTTAGGTTAAATATCCAAGTGTGACTGGGCATTGGTGGCACACTCCTTTAATCCCAGCACTCGGAAGGCAGACGCAGGCGAATCTCTACAGAGCGAGTTCCAGGGCAGCCTCCAAAACAATACAGAGAAATTCTGAATCGAAAAACCAAAACCAAAAATCCAAGTGTATGTTTTCATTTCTTTTTACATCTCATGTGTAAAAGTGAAAGAAAGCCATCAGTTCATTACTGTTTGGGGATAATGGTGGGAGCAGCTGTGCCCAGTGAGCACAGGTCACAGGCATCTTCAAAACAGCAGTGATGGAAGAAGATGCTCTGCGTGTTTATTCTTTCATTGGTTCCTCATTCATTTGACAATAGCTGGGCTGGACCATATTTAGTATGCTAGTCCCAAAGAGACAGGAGAGACCTCTAAGAAAGCCTCCTGGAGAGGATGTGTAATTTGTCTCCAAAAAATGAGTTATTTTTGAAGAATCCAGAGACCAGAGAAAGATTTCTCAAACGTGGCATAAAAGCACAGGCCTCTTGGTATGTATTTTTTCCCATTGAGGAGAGGAGCATATTTTAGAATCATAACTCCATGAGTTCTCTGTCTTGCTTCTTTGTGAAGGAAGGAAGAATCATTTGAAGAATCAGTTTAAGAAAAGAAAAAGAGCCAAGCAGTTAGGTTGTGTGCAAGGCATGCAGCTGTACATAGACTCATAACATATGCTATAGCTTTCAGCACTGCCTCTCTCTCCTGGGCTGGACTTCTTACATTCCTAAGAAACAGTGTGGGAAATCACGGACATGGACCTCAGCTTTGGTGCGATTCAACCATAGCCCCACATGAGGGCAGACTTGCCACATGGAGAGGCCTCCTCTCTCCTCTTCACAGCTTCCCTGGAAGAGTACAAGCCTGTGTAGACCATCCAGGGCTCTTGTGCGTTTTTCTCACTGCATGCCACAGAAGGAGAATTCCCTCACATCTCAGACATCACTCATGTGGCGAACACACACACGGCGTCTTTGAAAGTCCAAATTGCATGGCAAAGAGAGGATCTCCTTTTAAAGGCCTTTAATTTTCTGAGAAGGTATGTGATAGTCAAATGATCCTCTGTCCTTTGTAGGAAGTCTGGAGTCAGGCCAGCGTACAGCCAAGCATCCTGATTCCATGGAAGGGAAGTTCATAGTACACAAACAAATCTGAACATTGCACATTGTAGCTTAGCTGAAATAGGGGCAAATTAGCTTTACCTAATGCTTCATTGTCATTTACACACACACACACACACACACACACACACACACACTCATGCACACACACATGCGTGCACACAAAGAGGAAACTAAGAAGAAGTAACTTTGCAAGCATCTAAACAATCTGCCTTATGAGCCCTAAGGACACAGAATTAAAGTATATATACTTCAAACAACTCACAGGGGGTCCAGGAGGTCCAGGTTTCCCAGGAGGTCCCTCGCTGCCCTGCAGGAGATGCACAGGTTAAAATGAATGGTTGGCCATTCCCACTCAGATTCATGAACCATATTATCCAAAGAGCCCACTTCTAAAATCATCACCGCCTGCCATGTTGCCTCAGCCTTGCAGTCTTGTTCTGCTTAGCTTGCTCGTTGGCCCAATAAAATACATCTGCCCAATTCAGGAAAGGGAATACCTCTCTTCAAGCTGGATTCTTGCTGTGTGGACTCTAGGGGGAGGACACTTGATTTCATTAAGGACATACAAGCTAGGAGACCTGTTCTGGGATTTGAACACAGTAGGGGATTTTCTCCTCCTAGGTGTACATGGGTAATAGGGTAGAGTTTATGTGAAGATTGCAGGCTCTGAGACTGTGACTCTCTGGACTAACCTTTACTCTTGGCTTCTCACCTCCACCACCTTCAACTTTTTAGAGCATTCTAGTACATTCAACCCATGTATCGAATCACAACCTGTGTCACATATGTTGGCTAATATCAAATTCTACAACCAGGTGAGATGCTTCTTACTGAGTGGAAGTGAAGGGCTGGACACTGTTGAAGGGAAATGGTCTATTCATTTAATTTACTGATACAGTTTAAATAACCTTGTAGAAGACACAAATTAAAAACAAAAGGGCACTACAATAATTGCTTACTATGGAACAATAACTATTCTGTGATTTTGAGCTGAAACTTGACCAATGACTTTTACAAAGCACAGAATGCCTTCCAGTTCACAGTAAGCAATATATGCAAACTATATATTTATCAACATAAATAAACCATAAAGTTTCTCACAAAACACACCATCTGGGAATGTGTACAGTTAGTTAGCATGTTGTATCTTCCCCAAACTGCTTTGATGGCTGCTGTCTCCCTAAGATGTTCTTTGTCCTGCTGACCGCTGGCAATGTCCTTGAGAGCATTACATCACATTCCTTGTGAGTCAACAAACAGTATGTGCCTATTGAGAACACTTCTTTCTTTCCTCCTGGCACAATTAGAAGTCATATTCTCATTTGTGCCCTGAAGCTCATTTCAGTGTGGAATTCCCATTAACTTCAAAGGCCAGGCTAGGACAGAATCATTTTCATAGAAAATAGAGGGGAAAAGGCTGGTGGAGTGGAGAAAGGGTCTGGAGATATTAACAAGATAAAAAAACGTGCCCAGGCTCTTCAGAACAACTACATTGTTTCATTTAAGTGTTCCGGGGGATGTTTTGCTCGACACCATCATGCTCCATTTTGCTCAGGGATCAGGCATCTTGGCTAGTGTGCAGGAGATACTTAAGTAACTTTTGGGACTGCTTGGCACTTACTTCCTTTATCTAAATAGTTTTAACTATTTCACCATTTGTGAGGCTATGCCTGGACTGTCATTGTAATGTCACTTTCCATCTTAGACCAGGACAGCCTGATGCTACTGGATTGTTGCTCTTCCCTCCCAAACACAGCTGTGAGCTGTGGCAGTTACTCTTCAATTCCTAGTTGACGGGACTTAGGATCACCATGGAAATATCATCATGGGTATGTCTGTGAGGATGCTTCCAGAAATGTCTAGCAAAGCAGGGGGAAGACCCACACTGAATGTGGACATCATTATCACACGGGCTTGACTCCCAACTGAATAAGGATAGAGCTCTCTGAATAAGGATCGACCTCTCTGCTTCTCCTGCAGATGCAGTGTGACCTCAGGATCTCCTCTTACTGTGACCTCGCCACCATGATGAGATGCAACCTTGAACTGTAAGGCAGAACAAACACTTCCTACTTTTGGCTGTTTTCTCGGATGATCTGAAAGAGCAACTGAAGTATCCAATACATTCTTTCCAGGGCGAATGTTTTTAGCGAATTCCCACTGCAGCCTTCTAGGGACAGCATTTCCAGATTGTCTCACAAGACCTTTGGTTATTGTTCATTGTCTTTATAGCCAGTAAGGCATTTGGAGCCAGAGAGCTTGTTTAGAATGTTTGGGTACTTCTCTCACAGCATGAATCCAATTCACAGGGTGATGAATTAGATGGGTCCCTTGGGAGACAGTTGGTTCACTGGTTGGAACTTTCATGAATGGGATCAGTGCCCTTTTAAAGAAACCCAAGGAAGCTTAGTTGCAGTTGAACTACACAAGGACTCATTTAGAACATGCTCTCTGTGAACAAGAAAATGGGCCCCAGAAGCTACCAAAACCACTAGTGCTGTGTCCGTGGACTTTCCAGCTTCTAGACTGTGAGAGATGCTGTGTAGAGCCACTTTATAATATTTTGTTATAAAAGTCCAAAGAGATGAAGATTCAGCCATGGCTGGAACTCTCTCATACATTACACGCCAGCTTACCTACATCTCTGTAGAAGACTTGGGCCAATCACTCTTCGGCATGGACCGATGCCCCAACCTCTGAATTCAGTTTTGATTTCTATATACCACCCAGTGTTCTCTCTCATCTTACTTTGCTCTAGGAACACACCTCCTGTATCCAAACCCACTTTCAGACCAGCATCTTTGCGAGTACATCTCATGAATAGCCACTTCCCAACACCATTTGCCCTTGTAGGCTGTTCTTGATTGTATGGGTCTTTCAGTAAATGGTCCCGTCCCACCTGACCGAGCCCCAGTCCCATTTTCCTCTGTACCTTGTCACCTTTTGCTCCAGTGGGACCAGGGTGTCCAGTCCTTCCTGTTAAACCCTGTAAAATGGACATATAAGTTTGTTGTAGAATCAACAATTCAATGGTCAAAAGGGTGTTGGGAGTTGGTTGATAAAATGTAGCCATTTTGAAGGTCATTTGATCCTAATTAAATCAGTCTACAAGCTTATATTTCTTCAGGATGCTATAGCAGCTGTATTCTCCTGATAAGCGTTTGGAAGGATAAAACTTCTGTCTGTGGGATTTTTCACCTTGGCCAACCTCATTTAATGACCTTAATTGGAACCTTTTGATACACTGAAAAATTTAGTCTTGCTGTTTAAATGGTAATTTACATAACATTATGTCTTTCTAAATGAGGTATAATTTTGGTAGCTATCAACATCTTAAATATACTAAGACTGGGCAGAATTAACAGTGTGCATCTTGAGTTTTGTGATCTGCATGGGAAAAAGAAAAACAAAAAGTAAGTTTAATTCTTTGACAATAGAATTAACAGTAATTCTTGTGGCTTCTTTTACAGTACTCTTCCATAATTTTAAGTTTTACAGTACAGGTTTGTTGAACATACTGAGGTGCAAGCATTAATGATAGCCTTTTAATTATGGCAAACCCATGATTCAAAACATTAAGGAATGATCACACTCTTATTTGAAGGGTAAAAATAATTTGCTATCACAGAAATTCCAAGAGGAGGAAGAGATAGAGGAGTCAAGACATTGACCGAGTGGAGTTAATTTAGCGAGGAAAATGCATTATTTGGGACCAACTTACACAGACATTTATTTGTTGGTCTGAAACTCAAGTGCGATTGTGTGTCCCGTCTTTTATCTGGCAATTGAACTTTAGGATTGCTTAGAATTCAGCTCTAAATAAGAGATTGGGTTCGGCAGGTTGGAAATGATAACAGATTCTGTTCCAGGAAAACAAGATAGCCAACCCAAAGGCCCTATTGCTGTGTTCCAGGAGGAGCAAAACAGAATTTTAAAAATTCACAAATAGGAATAAAACAAATTGAAGTTGATAATCTTTGGCCTGTTATTTTTCTTTGGAAAACTCTCAGCTTGTGTTGCATCTGAATCTCTCTTCCAAGGTCAGTACCAAAATGTACTTGTGTATGCATCCAGTTTCTACTTCCAGCCGAGTGGGAGGATGCTCTTTGGTTGGCAAAAATTCTGACAGGAAGGCTCCAGGACACTAAGCAGGCTTAACTAATCTTAGATGAAAGCCAGAGGTGCTAAAGGAGGCTACTGTGTCTAGGCAATAGCTGATTTACAGAGAGATATGGAGCATGGGTGGTACCAGGAATATTAATGTACCTTGTATCATTCCTACAGGTATGACCTGTGAAGAGACTAGTCTTATCAAACACTTACAGGGGGTCCAGCTGGGCCAGGAGCTCCCGAGAGGCCAGGAATTCCTTGAAGACCCTGGAAGAAACAGTTTCCATCATTAAGTTTATTGTAGGGAAAAATCAGTTTTGCAATTCAAATATTTTTATTATTGAAAATTAATCATAGAATTTAATCAAGAAACTTGGTATGTACGACCTATAAAAATGATTTAGTTAAGAAAATATCGGTCTGGGTGTTTGCTTGCATGTGTGTCTGGGTACCTTGCGTGTGCCTGGTGTCTGCAGAGGCCAGAAGAGCACATTGGAACTGGAGTTACAGATAGTTGTGAGCCACCATTTGGGGGCTGGGAATTGAGAGCCTGGGTTTTCTGGTGAGCAGAAAGTGCTCTGAGACATCTGAAAGACCACTGAGACATGTCTCCAGTCTCTCAATATTGACTTCAAAGAGTAAGAGAGTTAAGCTAAAATGCTGTGGCGTGGAATCTGTAACAGAGGTAATTTAATCTGTTTGGTGATTCATAGAATATCTCTGATGTTCTATACCCACTGACCAGAAGTAGCATCACTGGGAATGGTATACTACTAAAGCATGGGAATACAAGCTTTGAGTCTTGAGTACAAGCTGGTTGTATACAGTTGGATATAAGCTGGTTGGTATAAAACAATGCTGGTAGAGAAATACTTGATTACACCAAAGCTGCATTCAGCTACTGGCAAAGGAGAAAATGTTTTATGATATTCTTAGTTTATCTGTTCAGTTCATTATAAGAAAACAAATTCTTACCTGTGAATTTAACTGTAACATTTCTCTACGTGTACCTGTTTCAGATATGCATGTGCATATTTCTTCCTCTCTTTGCTACTTCAGGTCTCAACTTTGAGTCAGTGTAGAGACCCTGAGTGAGGTTTTAGGTTGTCTAATTTATAAGCATGGGCATCATTAACCTTTGGTAGCCTCATTAAACTTTAAAATGTACCCTTGCATACATAAAAACACCATTATCAGCAGTCTTTCTCCCAGCTCCCTGAAATTTTGTATTAAGAGTGAAAGCTGCTATGGAGGCCTAAGGGGCGATTAGATGATTTTTGTAAGACAAGATGGCCATTACAGAAGACAGACATTCAGGACTAAGACAGTCAAGTTAAGCTCAATGGTGCAAATTCAAACATAAATTAAAATCCATTAAATAGGTATTCAGCCATCACTTGTATCCTTTATGACAAATGATATTTTCATGTCTTACTTGTCATTCATTATTGTAAAATATTATATGAAGACATAAGAACCCCAAACAAATTTTCTCTGTCTCAGAAGGGTAAGTTCTGTGGTCTGTCAGAACCTTCTCAAGTTGATGCTGAGTCATAAAGCATATATGAAGAACCTGGAGGAAACTACTTTTCAAGGATGGACAAATGAGTGATTCCTCTAACTTAATAAACTATGTTGAAGATTGTAAAATCAGAGCTCTAGAAGATATGCTCTTCTCCCTGTACCTTTCCCACTGAATGAAGAATAGATGTTTGCAGTTTTGTAACATTAGAGGCAGTGCATGCCTGTTAAGAGAGTACCATCTGTTGGCCGGTTGGTTAACATTTTATTCATTTAAACAAATCAACATGGGATGCTAACTAAGGTATTCTCAGAGTCCAAGTAGATGATGCAACTATGTTTGCTGTTATTGATTTGTGGGAAAGACAAAAGGTGTGCTGCCTTGTTCCTTTCAAAAGGCCCAACTAAGTCAGTATGTTGGGCCAGGTTTATTCATGTTATGCTTATGATGTGGAGAACGAGAGAAAATCGCCTCCTGAAGTCTAATGAGTCCTCTGCAGAATTTTGTGTGACCCATGTCAAAGAGTGTACAAAGTGCACCTAAGGAGAGCACACTAGAATATCGAGGCGTATTAACCATGGGCTCAGCTCACCAAGACAGCAACATGCCTCACAGAATCAATAAAATTTAACATCTAGTGAATTTAACAGAACCACTTATAAAAAACCCAAATTGCAATTATTTTTCCATCTTTTTTTTTTATTGCCTTCTCAATTGCCTCTAAACCCACCTCTCGAGTCTAGGCAGTTAAAACCTGCCTGCCTGTTAGAGCCCATTACTAAGCTTACACGTTACTGAAACCTTCTGTGGAACTCTAGGAAGCAAAAGCTCATTAATTCTTACTTGTTTTCAAAACAAAAATGCTTTTGATGTTTTATTTATAAATGAAAATAAATGCCGTATTTCTTATTCTTTAATTTTTAACTTGGAAAACAATCCCAAGCCAATCTTAAAGATTTCTAGAACACAATGAATATCAATAAAAACAATAATGAATGATGATAACTTGTAATGTGAAATACAGTTCTAACCAGGAAAATAGATGTATTTTATAGTGTCATAATTTTCCACACTACCATCAAGGTTAATATATGCCAGATGGCTTTCTTACTTTCATTAAAAACTATTAGCACCAAAACTGTTTAAACTAACAGCAATTCATCATCCTAATTGGTTTTTCTAAGAGTTAATGTGAATTATGCAGGGCAAGAATGATATCCTAAGCATCACTGTGGCTTATAGTCAGAATATTACACCATTATCTCAAAAACACGTTTGAGCTGCGTGCTTGGTCCTGGGGTGCACAGTTTATTTCTCCCAAGTGTTTGGAAGCTGAGCATAGAGAAACCAAGGTTGTTGAAGATCAGTCATAGTACAGAGGTATTCCCTGATTGGGCTCTGGGGCCACCCTCATCTCTACGCTTGTTCATATACTCTTTCCGAATCTTTACTATCCTGAGGCCTCTTTGTGAGTTCACTCTTCCTTCTTTTCTTGTGAGAGCTGGGATAGTTACCCACTACCTGCAAGCAGAAACCTCATAACTTCCATATTAATTATTAGCCTTAATTTTGTGTCTCCATGTCTAGACCACTAGAGACAAATGTGAATCTAGAATTATCAAAGCACACTATCTTAAAACATCTAATTATACTTGGTTTTCAATGGTCTTGGTATCAAACATAGGTAAGTGAAAACTCCGTGTCTTTATTGAATGAAGCAGAGAGAAGCAGTAGCTGGCTGTTTCATCAGAGAATCTCTTACCTCATCACCTTTCTCCCCATGTACTCCAGGGTAGCCCCGTTCTCCTTTGCTTCCCTAAAAAGACAGTAACTTCAGTTAACAGTGGACCATTTCAGGATTGTTTGAAACAATGGAAAAAAATCCCCCATCAGAACATTTGGGGTACAATCATTTGGACAGGGTAAGGGAGTAAACCAATGGCATCATCTGCAAATGCCCTTATCCCCCAAATTGCCAAAGCAAGTGTCATAGGAGTAGTGCATTTTAAAAGTGGGATTCTCCATTTTTCATATAGTTGAGAATCTGATGCAGGACTTCCTTACCTTTGGCCCCTCTCTTCCTGGGACTCCTGGAGGACCCCGTGGCCCTGCATCCCCCTAGAAGACAGAGGAGTCACAGCTGCAAGAGGACACCCAGTAGGTGTGCTGTAGGACCCACAGGCGTTCCACAAACCTCTCACCTTCCTGACTGTAGAATCGTATTTTCCAGGTTCCCCAGTGCCTCCTTCATCCCCTTTGATGCTTTTCAGCCCGGGGACATGGGCTTGACAGTTGCCACAGAAGTTCTAGCAAGTATAAAGACAAGTTAACTGAGAGGTTCATAAACTCTGTTTATGAAGCTGAGGTTTGATCTATTTGACCTCTTGTCAAATGAGCAATTGTGAGACTACTCTACCTTCAGAGACAGATCTGTCCAATCTGAAAGATGACTTTTTGAGGTAAATGCTTGACAAGCCTACCAGTAATTTTTGTTTTGTACTGGTGAACTTTTACTTAAAGATAAAACACCACACACACACACGCATGCACGCATGCGCGTGCGTGCGCGCGCGCGCACACACACACACACAGGTCTCTGATGTCATTTCAAAGGAAAATCCCAAATAAGTAATGGGGGTGGGGATTTATAATTTGAGAGCACAGTCTGAGTTTTAACTATTTAGCACGTTTAGGAAGAGAAGCCGTATTAAAGTTTGGGTTAAGCAGCAAGTTTAAAGAGTACAAAAAAACTAATAGCCCAATTCTGTGGAATTACAATGAGAAAAAAAAAGAGGGAGGAAAAATTTCCAACATGAAAGTGGAATGAGTTGGGAACACACCACAGCGGCTGCTAACAATTGTCACTGGAGGCACCCTTGGGAAGAACAGGAACTCAAGGTCCTAGGACTTGACCCAGGGTCAAATCTAAGAGGATATGGGAGACTTCAGTTGTATTACTGTCCCATTGACTTGACAACCTTCAGGAGATCTACAGCAGCTCAGATCTAAGTGTCTATGCTCCTAAGACAAACCAAAGTCTTACTACATGGCTAGGAAAACTTCTGTGAAAATCTTGTTTTTAAAAAATATTGAAGTATAAATGCCACCATGAGAGTCTAAGAACCGCTCATGGAAGGGACAAGTGATAGATCAGGACAAAAGAAAACTTCTATTTTTCATTGTTTTTAGTAATTGGAAGAATCATTGAACAGAAAAAGGAATGGAGATTTGCTATTGATAAATAGTTGGCAAGAAAGAATAAAATCATTCATAACTAATACTTTTGGTTATGAATCAACACACATAAAATCATAGAACCACCATGCAGGGAAGGGTAAGGTGGGACTCAAGAGAATCAGGAAAGTTTCTATATTTCAAAATGTACAAAAAGATGAATTATGCCTACAGATATATATGATGTATATGTATGTAATGTTTTATCAGTATAGCGCAAAACCTTTGAATACTGATTTCAGAAACATTTTCAGATAGATGATTCCACTGATAATTTTAGTGGAATTCATATTTAGTATAATAGGAAAAATTTAAAAATGATAATTGTTTTAACTCAACAGAACCTTCTTAGATTCATTTGCTAATGGTCTCATTTTCTTCAGTTAGATAAGGCAAGGGAAACTGATTTTAATAAAGCTTCTTGAATAAAATGACTCAATACTATTTTGTAGAAAGGATTAAGATACATTTATCATTAGCCAATGCACAGTCTGATTCCAAGAGAACCTGGCACACAGATTAATCTAGAAGGGCTAGAAGGGATGGTTTAGCTTTAGTGTTACGCCAGGTTCTCTCAAGGCTCTACCTCAAGACATCTTAGAGAACAGAAAGTAGCTGACATCCTGTAAAACGATCAAGACACAGAGCTTGAGCTAGGGGGTTACAGGGTCACGATTTAACATTGTGCTATTGAATTGCTTTCACAGGTCAATCTCTAAACTAAATTCTTGAATTTGGGGTTTGGGTGGGGGCTACTTGTTTCCCCTTTTTTCTGCTGAATAAAGCTTATGGGGTCACCGGACAAGCTTTCCAGTCTGCATCCCACCAGGATGACTCAGGACCATATTGAGATGATTCTAGTACTGAAGAGTAGTGTGATATGTCCGAAGAGGCTGCCCTGGCAATACCATCAGTTCCTCTATCCATGAGACCCCCCAGAGCCCAGTCCTCCTCTTAGCAGAGTCCACTCAGTATGTTGTCTGTTCTGTGAGCCATCCTACATTCTGTCAGAACATTTAGTTCTGGTTAAGTATACAACTTTCTCATCCTTTCAAGTGTCTATCTATGCACATGAAAATTAGATTTTTATTATTTTGAGAATTCATGCTTTCACAAGAAATATAAGCAAGATCCACAGAAATGTTGGTTAGGCAAGAGAAACAAGAATTCAGTTAGTTTCTAGGAACAAATTTTAGAATTCCCATATATTTTCTTATTTCATTATCAGCTGGACTGTTGTAACTTGGATCTAGAATGTCTATAAAGAACCCTGTGTTAAAGGCTGGTTCCAATAAGAACCACCTAGAAAAAAAAGAATTCAAGTGTCGAATCCTACAACCTTGTCATTTATAACATTATTGTTGTTACAAAGAATCTGGGGCTTAAAACCCGAGGATGTGTATTCCTGGGTCAACCTCACACTTATTAGCTACGTGTCTGGGCAAATTACTTAGCTACTTGGAACTTCAAGTATCTTTGATGACTGAGAATGACACTCCAGCCTGAGCTCAGAACATTTTGGTAAAGACTAAATGGGAAAGAAATAAGTAAGGTTGCACTGACTGACATATAATTATAATTCAATATGAGAGCTCTCTGAAACTCTCATAAATATCCTGTATTATAAGAAAACTCTGCTTTTTTGATTTCCTAAAAACCCCTCTAAAATGTTTTATATTAATATTTATATTTATGTACCTTTTCTAGAAACTAGACCGCGTCTTTTGATGCTATAACTCTTCATGTAAGTCATTAGGCAAATCATTAGCATAAACACCAGCTGTATAAGTGAAGCGGTGTGTGTGGTGTATATGCATGTTCACCCAAAGGCAGGAAATGTAAGAGTGAAATGAAGGGCTACATTTTCATTTAAGATCACCAGTTCTTACTGGACTGCATGCAGACTACATATGCATAGCCTTACCCATTACCAGATGCCTCATTTTTACTGATAAAACATAGTAAAGTATTTAAGAAAAAATGGTAGGCATAGTGCTTGTGTGTGTGTGTGTGATGTTAGTATGGTGTAAGCTTCTGCATAGTTAAAGCTGGATTTAAACTTGTTGTTCTCCTGTTTCAGTTTCCTAAAGGATGGATTAAATGATGGAACTACAGGTGTGTGCCACCATGTTTAGCCCAAGGTACTTTATGGAATAGCTAATCAGTAGAGATAATTTTTGTTTAACAGGGTAACAGATGTTAGGGCGGCTGTTGGCTTTGGAATTTTATAGCTCATTTTATAAAATTCCATGATATAAAAAGCTCAGTCTGTAAGCTAGTGGCACTGATTTTCATCTTGAGCCTGACCAGAGCTGGCAGGGTGGTAGACAGACTTCAGGGCAGCGAGCCAGGGTGGGGAAGGGAAAGGAAGAGAAAGCTATTGCTTCAGAGGAGGCAGGACCTTTGTAAAGGTATGAATGATCACCCTTCCTGTATCTCATCTCAATTCTGCTGCCCCCATCTCATATCTACAGTGTGTGACCCACCAAGAAGCGAGTGGGAAGATTAGTGTGAATGCTACAGGATATAATAAGATGTGCACTTTTCAGTATTAAATGCTGTGTAACGGTAGAATTTGAATTGGTTGGACTGAGCAGTTATTAATTCTATCTTTGGTAGAAAGTTTCTTTTTAACCTTTTTACACACCACGTCATTTCTTTTATAGCAAAAGAATACCTTCAGCAAGGCGCCAATGTCTCCCAAGAGAGGAAGGGCAATCTGCAGTTAAGAGAGAGAAACCCAAATCCATGGATATTCGCATATACATGAACCAAATATAACATGAACATAGAAATTGATGTGTGTATTTTTTCTTAAAGTGCCATGCCAATTGAAATTTGGGGGTGGTGAGTCTCACCATTGAACTCACTTGTTTAACTTTGCATTTCATGGCTCAAAGCTTACACACAGAACCAGAATATGAGAGTATCCACTGTTACTTCACCAAGATCATGCAAGCTCATATGTATCACTGTTTTGATCATACACCTGTGTTTTGTAGTTTCACCACAAGGTAACCTTTCTGCTTTCCCTGTGCTGCTGGCTTTAAGTAATATGATGTTTTCTTTAATCATTTGCTAAAAGGAAATCATTCCTTCACCAAGCACATTTTCAGGCTGCTGAGAAATATGAAGATTGCATGGTGCCTTAAAATTAGCTCTTACAGAAGTTCGAAAGACACTTCAGTGAGGGGCAAGACAGACACCTAGGGAGCGTGGGCTGCGTTTGGACTACAGGTCTTAAAATGTCCTTTCAGAGGAACACTGTGTAAGCCTGAGTGACAGTTGATAGGATGTGAGATGAGGGGCACATGATTCATTGTTGGGGTTAAAGAAAGGCTAGATAATGCCACTGCATGAAGCTTCTAAAGGCTCAAAGGCACACAGTGTGGGAGGTAGGGGATCTGTGAAGACCCAGCAAGGGGCCAGATTTAGATTTTATTATACAAAACTCTTAATACAATACCATGTGCCATATGGCCTCTCAAAAATATAAGTGTTGGAGTTGAGGCTATTTAAAAAGATTTACTGTCACTCATAGCAAAGTTTAACCTGAAATAAAACGATGTAACACATAGTTAGCATCTAAATGCATTTTCTGTGATTTCCAACCCAATTTTCATAATTTAATCACCTCGTCTGTTCTGAGGCACTCAATCAATGGCTATGCACCACAGTGGAGGTAACTTACCTACAAACTTCCATTTAGAAAAATGAAGTTCATTTACTCACTAGCATTAGAAAGACTAGAAATCGTGGCTATCAGTTTCATCTCAATTTTCCATGGAACAAAGACATTAAACGCTAAGGCTCAGCCCGGGGCAAAATTGTACAGCTGAATTATACCCTTAGGAAATAAGTATTCATCACATACACACAATAATGCTGACCCAGCTTGAATTTTTCCCCCTCTACAAAATAATGGGGATAAACAAAATCACCAAGCAGTCTCCAAGCATTGTAATTAGTTTGGACAGCAAAATTTGCTTGGTAGGCTGTTTGGCTTCTGGGTGCATTAAAGATACATAAATCAGGCAAAGCCTGTCTACATACCGGGTCACCTGGGGGCCCTGGAAGTCCTGGCTTTCCATCTCTCCCTGGAGCTCCCTAAAAACATAAGCCACTTATTCAAACCTCTGCAAGTTATAGCTGATTAAAATGGACATGGTGTGGGAGTTGGGGAAAGGTCCTTACATCATTCCCTGGGGTCCCTGGAGTTCCTGGCAATCCGGGAAGACCTCGAGGACCCTAGAAAAGCAAAGAAAAAGTGTTCCGTAGGACAGTCTTTTGAGTAATTACTGGCAATCAAGAAAATTTTGGGAGTAACTCAGTGACATCACTTACCTGAATACCTGGCTCTCCTGCTGGTCCTTGGGAGCCCTGGGTAAAAGGAGAGAGAGAATTGTCCAAATTCTACCAGGGATATTCATAACTGCCCTGTCGTTTACTTAGCAGAAAGACAGGGTTAGACGCTTGCATGATCTGAATACTCTGTAAGCTCTGCACGTGGTTTCTGGAAAGCTCGCCTTGACCTAAAATAGCGGTTCAAGAACCAGACATTCAAGGCTAGAACAAGACTTCACTCATATGCTTGGGTGTTTCTTTCACTCCACTCTGCTGCTGCACATTCACAAGTGTGCAAGCAATGTGTTCAAATCCTGTCAGATCAGAAACCAACTGCCCATGGGGCTCAGAGGCCTGGGCCTCATTTCATTTCTTTGTTGACTCATTTTCCTCTTGTCCATTTGTTTGTTATATTTACTTATTTTTTATTGAAAGTATATCCTTCTCGCATACAATACATTCCAGCCACAGTTTCCCCTCCCTTCACTCCTCCCTTCTCCCCTTCATGTCTTCTCTCCATCAGATTCTACTTCACTTCGTTTCTTCTTCAGAAAAGATCAGGCCCCCAAGGCACAATGACCAAACACAAGAAAACAAGATAACAATAAGACAAGGTACAACCCCTCATATCCAGGCTGGACAAGGTGACCCAACAGGAGAAGAAGAGTCCCCAGGACAAGCAAAAGAGTCAGAGACTCATCTGCTCGCACAGGTAGGAGTCCCACAGAAACACCAAGCTAAGAGCTACAAGATACATGCTGAGCCCCTGGAGCAGACACATGTAGGCCCTCATTTTCCTGTTAAGAAACAGCAGGCTCCAGAGTTCGGTGGCGGGAGTAGATAGCTAACTAACGGCACAGGGGTTATTTTCTGCTTCTGGGATGCTGCGGTTTGGAAGAACTCAAGTGAGGTTGAAGATAGCCAAGAACCCCCAAGAACCCAGTGACATACATTCTGATTATACATATCTTTGGGGCATTGAATCTGTGGGGGCACATGCCTTCCTTTTTAGCACTTGGGAGGCAGAGGAAAGCAGATCTCTGTGAGTTCTAGAGCAGCCTGTTTATTTACATAGTGAGTTTTAGGACAGCTAGTGAGACCCCATTTTTAAAGTCATTTTTTCTTTTCTTTTAAGCAGTTGGCACCAGCATTTTCTGGGTTCTCTCACTTAAAAATATTCATAACATTGCTATTATCAAGCCTTCTGTTGCCTTTTCATTGTGCCCCTAAGTGGCATAGTTTCCCTATAAACTTGTTGCCTCTTTAATGAGTTATTGTTGAATGCTTTGTTATCTTTTAAAGGCAGTGCATAAAGTAGAGGTTCCCATGATGGCATTTTCATATACACATTGCTCTTATGGGTTTCCCTCCCCCAGTGCAGGCTCCTGGCCTGTTTTCTTCCTGGTGGTCTACACCCTCACCACAAGACACGCCTGCTGCTTTCCCGTCAGATGTATTTCATTACTCTCTTTTCTTCTTCCATTTTTACTTATGTGACCCCCCCCCACACACACACACATACACACACATCCTTCCACATGGACTATTTGTCTTTCTGAGTCTGGCTTCTTTCACTTAATAGAATGATTTCAAGTTGAACCCATTTTTCTGCAAATGTCATGTTTTCCTTTTCCTTTGTGGGATGAATAAAATTCCTTGTGTAGAACTGCTCTTTCTGCTTAAGATTGCTTTTGGTGTTTGGAGTCTGTGGGTTTCCGTATACATTTCCAGGAACATCATGAGAATTTTGATGGCGATTACATTGCGTGCTTCTGGTACTATCAACATTCTCATTGCATTAATTCTGTCAGTTTATGAGCATAAGTGATGGCTCCAACCCCTACTGTCTTCTTCAGTACCTTCAAGTTTTCATTGAACATGTTTCTGAACTCTTGAGTCAGTTTTATTTTTAGGTGTCCCCCCTCCACCACGGCCCGGGTAACTGAGTGAGATTTTTTCCCCCTGATATTTCTTGCTAAGTTTCTTAATACTATATATAGAGGCTGCTGCTTTTTAATGTTTATTTTGTATTCTGCCACACTGCCGAAAATGCGTTACCACTCTAAAAGTTTCATTCTAAGAGTTTCCTGGCAGTGTCTTCAGGGTTAAGTAGTGTCTAAATAGGGATGATTTATTCCTTCCTTTCCTGTTTGTATCTCTTCTATTTCTTTCTCTCTTCTTATTGCTTTATGTAAGACGCTGAGCACTGCATTGAATAAGAGTGGAGATAAAAATGTAACCCACTGGGGTTCAGTAACTTGACTGAATATTACTTACTGTCCTGCCAGGAATTCCTACCCCTGGTGGGCCTGTGTCCCCTGGGGAGCCATGGATCCCGGGCAGTCCTCTTTCACCCTGTGAAAGCAAGGGCTCCTGTTAGTATGAGGCTCAAGACAGATGTGCTTTTCAGTTACGTTTTCTTAATTATTAATTCTTTTAAAACTTAGCTATGAAATCTATATACCTTTGGTCCACGTGGGCCAGGTGCTCCAGGATTTCCATCTAATCCCTAAAAGGAAAAAAAAAAACAAAAAACGTAAGATTACTGCATATCTCTTTCTAAATAATTAAAAAATTAGAAGTCATAATTCAAAAATATGATTCACCATCCTTCATTTTACTTGAGTGAGCCTCTTATTAAGAATACAGAGATAATTTTAGATGTAGATTTTCTATAAGTAGCTTAAAATATAAGAGGTTTTATCTGTGAAATTAAACATCTAATCTTCAGAATTATCAGCATTAATAATTGTTATAAAATGTAGAAAGAAGGTGGGGGAAATGGGCAAATCCAATGAGCATATTGGTGATGTGGAATGTCTTTCTGTATGCTGCGAATATGTGTTACTTTTTTATATACATTTTTTTAAAAATTAGAAACAATCTTGCTTTATATGTCAATCTGAGTCCCCTCTCCCTCCCCTCTTCCCGATTCCCCCATCCCATACCCTTTCAGCTCCCCAGGGAGATCTTCAAAGTCTGTTACATCATTTGGAGCAGGGCCTAGGCCCTCCCCCATGTGTCTAGGCCAAGAGAGTATCCCTCTATGAGGAATGGGCTCCCAGAGTCCATTCGTATACTAGGGATAAATACTGATCTACTACCAGAGTCCCCATAGACTGCCCAGGTCTCCTAACTGACACCCACGTACAGGGGATCTGGATCTGTGGGTTTCTCAGTCTGGGGACCATGAGCTCCCCTTTGTTCAGGTCAGCTGTTTCTGTGGGTTTCTCCAGTCTGGTCTTGTCCTCTTTGCTCATCACTCCTCCCTCTCTGCAACTGGATTCCAGGGGTTCAGCTCAGTGTTTATCTGTGGGTGTCTGCTTCTGCTTTCATCAGCTACTATGTGTTGCTTTTATTGGTTGGTAAAAAAAGCTGTTTCAGTCAATGGCCAGGCAGAATAGAGCCAGGCGGGAAATCCAAATAGAGTTACAGAGAGAAAGAAGGCAGAGTGAGGGAGACACCATATAACCACTGAGGAAGCAAGATGTGGGATAACAAGACATGAACCTCGTGGTAAAATATAAAATAATAGAAATGGCTTAATTTACAGGTAGAGCTAGCCAGTAAGAAGCCAGAGCCATCTGCTAAACAATTATACTTAATATTAAGCTTGAGGTTATTTAGGAACTGGTGGGCTGGAGAAAAACCTCCAACTACATATTGACTTTAGGGTTTTCTGCTGGTACAGTTTACAATGTCCTGAGTATAGCATGGATCACACACACTTTCTATGGACGATGGCCTATGTTTAATCCTCAAACTCTGGAAGGGAAATGTTGAGCATTTGATTTAAGGCGGTATCCTAGGAAGGCTTGTGGCTCAGAACCAGTACTTAGGGATTCGTAGATCCTCAAGGAATCAGGACATCAGGTGTTGGGGCCTTTGAAACATCTCAGATTATCTGTAAAATGTTGCCTGGGTGTGCATCTTCTGCAGCAGAGCCCCCTTGGCTTGTGTCGAGCATTCAAATTGCTTTAGCTTTATGAGTTAGGGTAAAAGATGACAATTTTTTGTGGGCTTAAAACTACACTTGTGTCTTGAAACTGGTAAATGAACTCTCAAGACAATCTTAGCAAAAGGGAGATACTTACTGGTTTTCCTATCAGGCTTTTCCCTGGAGGTCCAGCATCACCCTTTGGACCTGGAAGTCCAGGAGGGCCTAGTCTTCCGCCAGGATCTCCCTGTGGAAAAAGAAATGAGCTTTTTTCTTTCTCTGCTGAGGTTCATGACCAGAAGTTGTGAGACAGTGGTTTCCATTGCTTTATGTTGTTATGGCCAGTCAAACTTCATTCTTATGTTCACTTTTGTACTTTGACTCCCAAAAGCATCTACCAAGGGCCTAGCTCACTCTAGGACCTGCCTTTGTTATCTTAAACACATTCAGATACTGAAATGAGTTCTGTCACATAAAATTTAGCAGTATGAGGAAATACAGACTTGTGCAATAACACGGACACAAAGGGCATATCTATTCATGAAGTCCTTATTTCCTGGGGAATGATGCAATATTGACATGCTACACCCACACACATCCATCCACACAGGTCATAAAAGGCAGAGAGAGAGACACTTCTGAGAATTCATAACTTGACCTCAGCCCTAACATCTGCTCTTCCAAGCTAGCTCATTTTGTCATCTGGAGTTTCTCTGCCATACCCGTGGCTGCAAAGATGCGAGACACCAGGGGCACTGTATCACAGTTTATGTGAATGTCTGTCCCCTGCACTGCCAGATCCTGGGAGGCTCAAGTCTTGGGCTAATGTTTTGCCTCTCTGATGACATTGGGATCTTTGGTTTCTTCTTTCTATTTACTTACTATTAAAGAATCAAGTCTAAACTGTACCTTCTCTCCTTTAATGCCTTGCTTCCCTGGAATACCATGTTCTCCTGGCAATCCCTAGAAAATACAGAATTAAAGGAAAAAAGCAGTTAGGACATATCTTAATGTAATAGTATTCTACCCTTTGTAAGAGCACCGAGTTTTAGCATCTACCTACAAGGTAACGTTGATTTTGGCCTAAGGAGAAATGTTATTTGAAGACATGTGGCTTGTTGTCCCAAGTGAAGCCAGCAGCTGTAATGGGAAACAGAAAAGAACTGAAATGTTCCACCCATATAGTTGCTAAGAGGAGGAGGGAGAGGGGCGGTCGGTGGCACCACAAACCAACTTAAGTAGTCAAGATACTTTTACTAGGTTTATCCAGAGTGGTTCTTTTCCTTTTTATTTTATTTTGTTTATTTTTTTGTTCCTAGTACTGAATATTTTGTGGTTATTCTTATGTTATTAACATTTTCTGTCTTTTATGGTGTCTTTCCATTAGGGATCTCTGAAGTGGTCCAATGACTGGATTGTAGGAAGAATTAAAAAAAAAAACTTTTTAGGCCAGCGATGGCATAGGCCAGTAGTGGTGGTGCACCCCTTTAATCCTAGCCCTTGGGAGGCAGAAGCAGGTGGATTTCAGAATTCAAGGCCAGCCTGGTCTACAAAGAGAGTTCCAGGCCAGCCAGGGCTACACAGAAAAACCTGTTTCCAAAACCAAACAAAAACCTTTTCCTGTGGATTGGATGTTCATTAGAAAGCACACTGTGATGCTAACCAATAGCCTCCAGGGGGCTGAAACAGTGAGCATGAGACCAGGGGAAAAGTCATGGTCTGCTCCCAAGATGGTGGAAAGAGGAGAGATCTCAAGTCTGCCCAATAGAATTCCAGGCATGGACAGAGAGTCACTGAGAGCTGTAGTCAGGAATCTTCTCCATTTTGATCTAGTGCCTGAGTTCACATGGGGTGGCCAAGAGATTATCCAAGTAGTAGAAATCTGGGAGAATATATGAAATAATGCTTCCAAAGAGCATGAGGAATGTGGGGGGGGGAGAGGAGAGAGGGAGAGAGGGAAACAGAGAGAGAGAGAGAGAGAGAGAGAGAGAGAGAGAGAGAGAGAGAGAGAGAAAGCCCACTACAGTGACATTATCATATAGCATATTGGAAATGTGTTTTTCTTGACTTTTCTCTTATTTCTTTGGATATTTATGGTATCCACTACTCCACAGTAGCATTGGCTACCAACAATTGAGTTTCAAAGATTTTTTTTTTGGCTACACTCCAATGATTTCCCAGTAACACTGTGCCCCACCCCATCAGAAGTGACCAGTTTGGATGGTGTCGATGACCCATGTTTTTGGGAAATGTAGCATAATTCAGCTCACTGACTGATGCTCTTTAAGACACATCCTAATTTCAATTTCATTTCAGAGCACTGAAGACGCTATACATACGACATCTCCTGGTGGTCCTCTGGGTCCTGTGGCACCTGCAGGTCCTTGCTGACCCTAAAGTAGAAGATGATGTATACTTTAGCTTTGCATAAAAATAGATTGTGTCTAAATGCTGGTGACATACCCTCCCCTTTACAGGGAAGAGACAGGCTTCTTTGCGTCCCACCTTTTGTGTTTAGTACTGACATGCGCTCTGAGCTTAGCAACATAGCTCTGAGATGTTTTGTTTAATGGGGCTGCTTTTTTTTTCAGCAGGTGATACCGGGGTAACTGGCCTGATGCACTGCCTGGGAGCATTGCCTGAGAGTCCCTCTCACCCCTCCCCTAACTGCTTTTTCTTGAGACACTCCTGTAGAATTTCCTCTGGGAAACTCAAGTATCTCAAAGATGCATAATTTTAGTGTAGAAACATATCCTGCATCCTTTTCCTGTTAAGAATGTGGCACAGGGTCATAGATTTAACTGGAATTGTTTACTCTTAAAGCTTTTATGGATGCTATTGTGAATTTGTTCTGAAAAATAATTTTAAAATCCTATTGTATACCAAAAGGCCTAGCTTCTATGTTTGTAATAATGCAGCTAGTTGTCGTGGGGGGTCACCATGGAAACAAGATAAAGTCTCTGAGAACATCTGTGGAGAAAATTTGTGGCACACTAAAGCCTTTTTGAATACAGGATGGATGTGATTCCCACATTATTTCCCAATAGTGACTTCTTATACACCTTAATATATGAAGTGCATACCTTTAGCCCTGGGCTTCCTGTTAAACCAGGGGGACCAACATCTCCAGGTTCTCCCTAAATGCATGAGGGGAAAGGAAAGTTAAATGTTGCCATTATTCTCATCATCTCATTAATGTTGCAACTATGATTGAAAAAAAATGCCAGGAGATTACCTTTATTCCCTGTGGTCCTAATAGGCCGGGTTCTCCCTGTGAGTAAAACAGTTGCCATATGATTTATTCGTGAATCCAGATGGGGTTAGATATCTTGATACTTTAATTGACTTTCTATCAGTTAGCACACAACATTAAGTGGGGCATTAAGGAAGCCACACAATCAAGCAATCCAGAATCCTTGTTGCTAGTAAGTAACAAAACTCCTCATTTCATTTTTTCACTTGTGACATTATGTGTGGTAGTGTAATGTATTTGGTCCCCACAAACTCATAGAGAATGGCTCTATTAGGAAGTATGGTCTTGTTGGAGGAGGCTGGATGACACGCACCTTGAATCCAGACCTTGAGGCTAGAGGGCACAGCTTTAATCTGGGCCACACCTTACGCAGGCAGTGTGTCACTGTGGGGGTGGGCTTTGAGCTCATTTGTCTCAGGCGTCACTCAACCGGACATTCGGGTGAACTTCCTGTTGCCTCTGAGCCAAGATGTAGAACTCTCAACTCCAGCACCACATCTGCCTGCATGCTGCCATGCTCTCTGCCATGCTGAACTGAACTTCTGAACTGTAAGCCAGTCCCCTCAATTAAATGTTTTCATTATAAGAGTTGACTCTTCACAGCAACAGTAAACCCTAACTAAGACCTCATGGCATATTAGCAATGAGTCATTCATCACCACATGATGGCCAACCTCACATGAGAGGCAGGATGGAATAGGCTAAGTTTAAAGAGGTATGTGTGCTGGTGACTCTACTCCTGGGTACTTAATAAAACAGAAAAAATTACATTAAATAACACAATGTTTTCTTATTTTCCATGACTCATTTGAAAGTTCAATTTGCGTCTTTAAAAAAATTTGCAAACCTGTAATTGCATGTTTTAGTTTTGTAATTTAGATATTCCTCTTTATTTTCCTTTTCTTTTTTTTTCTCTGAGATGGGATTTCTGTTTGGCTGTTCTGGAACTCACACTGTAGATCAGGCTGGCTTTGGCCTTGAACTCACAGAGATTTATCTGCCTCTGCCTCCTGAGTGCTGGGATTAAAGGCAGGTGTGTCCCGCCACCACCTGGCAATTTAGATATTCTTACTTGATGACTTTTATGACATTGAGGCCTAGCCACTAATAGCAGTAAGCTAAAGAAAACCCAAATAGGGCTGGTGAGACATTTCAGAGAGTAAAGGAAGTTGCTGCTGAGCCTGAACCACACAGTGGAAGGAGAGGACAGGCTCCCACAAGCTGTCTTCTGGCCGTCGTACACATACAAAGGCATGCCTACAAAGTATGTCAAGCACATACCATCCCTCCCCAAAATAAATGTAAAATAAAAAAAATACCAAAGAAAGCCTGTATAACCCAAATCAAAAGTTAAAGTGTTATCACAAGATAGCATTTACCAAGGATTAAAGATAGCAGTAAGAAACAGCAGAAGAAAATACAAGTTTCAGGAAACTTACTCTATCAAATCGATTAGATGCCAACGACAAACTGGAGAGAGAAATCAATGAAATAGAAAACCCAAGATAGCGCTAAACATCTACTTACTCTATCTCCCTTTTCACCTTTTGTGAAAGCTTCCCCCTAGGAAAATGGGTAGAAACTGGAATCAATTATAAACACTTAGAAATCAACTCTGACAGGGGTAAGTGAGAAGGAATTTACAGAATCTTTCATATTCCCGAATGAACATGGAGCTAATCATTGTAATACTACTTAGAGGCTCCCAACAGCAGTCAAATTGAAATGCTGCCCAAGGCTACAGCTTCCTATTATGAAATGAAGATGAATATTCAAGCAGCGTTCATCAGCCAGTGGAGGGAAATGGGTACAGGTTAAATGGCAGGTATTCACTTGAATTTCCCACCTAGGTTAACTGTGTTTTTAAGCACAAGGTAGCGTTATTTCAAGGATGCTCTTTAAAGTGTCAGTTGTACTATAATCGAAATGACTTGAACGGGTTAATTACTGGGTAAGCAATGGAACTGATGGTGGTAGTTACTGGGGTTAGGATGGAGGTCCCCTGGAGAGATAGAGTTGAAGGATCACCTTCACTTCCCATATTCTTCTTGCTGCTACACACACACACACACACACACACACACACACACACACACACACACGCATGCACGCACGTACACACACCATAGTTAATCTTCAGGTATCAATCAGAAGTTGCTCTTATAGCAGCTGTACGCAGTACGCAGTTGAAGAAACTGAGGCACAGACTGCCCACAATTCTTCAGGCTCTTTTCCTCTTCAGTGGTGTCTGAGAAGTTTGCATGTGCCCAAGGATGAAGCCACAGGATTTGAATCAGCTTGACTGCATGTAGTGGCAATCAAACAATGACATCTTCCAAATGAACCAAGATGTCCTCTGGTGCAAGCAGGGCCTAGTTTTTCTTGGCTATTGCCACATATCTGTTACTTGGTGTAACCACACAAACTGTTATCTACCTAACACGATGTCATCTTCTACTATGGGTGAATTTTATGTGTTAGATCAGGGCTTTGTTTATAGTCTTACTTTTCATATTTTCATTCTAAGACTACGTATTTAACTACTAAGGTTTAAGGCAAGCATGGTGGGCATTGCTTCCGCCTCTGTTTGCTCCTGCTTGAGTCATATCACTCTTGGCAGAGTCACTGAAAACTTGAAATCTACATCGAATCCCCCACTGTCTGGGGTTTGATCAGGGCCAGGACTTTAACATGAAGCTCATACCCTCAGGTCTCTCATTTTACTTTGTAGTTTTGAGATTAGTTTTCACTAAGTTGTCCACTGAGGACTTGACCTCACTTTATACCCTAGGAGAGCTTTCAACTTGTGATCCTCCTGCCTTATCACCCTGAACAGCTGGGGTAATAGGCCTGCCCCTCCAGGCCTGCTTCAGAGGCTACATTGACTGACGGAGTTTGTAGGGATCTGGTTGACCGCAGGTTTTCAATTTAGTCTCATTTCCCATGAATCCTACCTACGGGTAGCCATTTGAAGTTTTTGAGCCCCCCTTTCCTTATTTATAAAATCATAGATTCTATCTAGATCCTTTCATGTACATATTTTACAGCTTGGATATGTCACACATGTCATCATATTCCACATATTGAAAACTGGGGGGCATGTGGCCATTTTGATATTGATGTTCAAGACAGTGGTTCAAAATTCTATTTTAGATAGTGACTACTCTTCTTTATGAGCTGCTTGGTTATTGATCTTGCTCTTGAAGAAGAAGGTTGAAACAACAAAGAACTAATAATATAAAACTTGTGGGGAGACAGGAAAGCAAGCAATGATGTACAGAGGAAGCAGGGTCATCAAGGGGGTAAGAGTGGACTGCCCAGGATAGACGTTAGGGGGAAAAGAAGTTTATTTTTTATCTTATGAGTATGGTTGTTTTGCCTGCATGGGTGTCTGTGCACCATGTGTGTGCCTAGTGCCCACAGTGGGCAAAATATACTACCAGATCCTCTGGAACTAGAGTTACAGTTGGTTGTGAGTCACTATGTGGGTGCTGGGAATTGAATCCTGGTCCTTTGAAAGAGCAGCCAGTGCTTAGATCCTTTGAGCCATCTTTCCAGCCCAAGACATTTATTTCTATTGAATAAAGAGAACAGGGCTAAGACTGGCCCACATGGGCAGCCAGGCTTCTCATGAACGTAGAAGGCAGGAGAGAAAGCCAGAGGGAGTCCTTAAGAAGATAAAGGCGGCTCACCCCTAGGAACCAGCATCACTCCAGCCCTCAGTGATTCCGGAGCAGCAGCACTAATGTGGCTTGTGGGAAACATAGGCTTCAGGGCTCCACCCAGAACTCCCGAGCTAGAATTCCCAGACTTTGATTCCATGCTCCTGTTTACAGTGCACAGCTGTTGCTCATAGAACATTCTTTTCTGCTTCATGTCTTACTTGTCAGGTCTTCCATGATCCACTCAGGAACTTAAATCGAGGTGGATATCAGTGGGTAGGGAGACAATGGAGAACACAAGAAGGGGTTAGGAGATGCTCAGAGTGGCGCACAGGAGTGGCGAGCTGCTGTGGGGTGGGTCACGTGACAGTTCCCAGACCCTTTGAAATCCTCAGTTGGAGAACACTGTGGAAGACTGTTGGGGAGCCCTGGACAGGTCAGCGAGGATAAGTGACTAGAAGGTCAATAACCAGGGTCCATGGAGGCAGTGGTGATTTCAAAGCTGCCAGAAGCAATGACTAGGACAATGAAGATGTCTAAGTGAAACTGAGCAGAGTTCCTGGAGCTAGGCTCGATAGCACTGAGTGCTTTTCCTACGGCTTCTCTTTTTCACGCAGGCATTTTAGTGACTTCTCCATTCCTCTTGTCCAGTCAACCCATGTCTCTAACTCACTGTGGAACATGGGTGAAGCAAGTTAAAAAGGTATATGGCACATAAAAAAAGACAAACCTTATGTGAATCCTGACTTTTCCACAAGAATGAAGATGTGTTTGTTTTCACAGAACTCATGTCAAAGCAGGGCAATGACAATGCATGCTTGCCATCCTAGGGCTGGGGAGGCACAGGATTCCTGAACATTGTTGGTTAGCCAAGCTTGCCAAATTGTTGAGTTCCAGGTTCAAGAACACACACACACACACACACACACACACACACACACACACACACACACACTCATTCATTGGCACACAATGTTAAAACTCTTTTTTTGTAACTAGGCTTTTGCATTCTCTTCAGTGGTTCTATTTGAATATAAATGATATGATAGGGGTTTTCTTTTCTTTCTTCTTTTTTCCCCACCCAAAAAAAAAGTTTTCAAAGAAATCAGTTACAGCAATATTGGAAGGAGGCTTTTGAAGTCATTTTGATCTTTGATCTCTCTCTCTCTCTCTCTCTCTCTCTCTCTCTCTCTCTCTCTCTCTGTGTCTCTCTGTCTCTGTCTTTGTCTCTCTCTCTCCCCCCCCTCTCTCTCTCACACACACACAAACTCAGAAAGGAAAATAATTTCAGAGGTGTACTGAGAACAATTGTTTGAGCAGAGAGAGAAGCATTTTCAATTTTAAGCTAAATTTGTACCAGTCTTGACATATTGATTGCGTTTCTCATTTTAGATATGGTGTTTGGACCTATCTAGGCAACTTAATAGTTTGAAAGCTTGTGTTCTGGAATCAGACTAACCAATGTATAGAATGGGCCACCTCAAGGGGCTTTTTATATGAGTTGAGGGTTTGGTGCCTGGCATGGTGTCTACTTGCTTAAGAATTTAGTCGACAATGCTATTCAGAGTGTTAGAATTAAAGGGCCATGGGATTGGAGCTGGGAAAATACTTTTAATTCTTCATCTATTTTTTATTTCCTCCCTCTGCCCTCAAAGATAAAATACTCACGGGTTCTCCTTTCTGTCCTTTAGGGCCAACAGACCCTGGAAATCCTGGAAGCCCAGAGTCTCCCTGTCGAGAACAAAAACAGAAGAGAAATGCCTCATGAGTGAAGAGAAAAATCTTCCCCCACCCAGAGAATCCTGCCTGGGTCTGGGACCTCTGCCTAAGAAGGTGTCTTTGCACTCCTCCATGCCTTAGGTCTTTCAGAAATCCATAACATTTCATTAGCACATTTAAAATTAATGTGGAACAATGTGAATTATTTTTCAAGGACAAGGCATGTAGAGGAGAAAAGAATTACAGTTTTGTTCTGCAGTACCAAAAAACATTATTTATTTAGTTTTGCATTTAAGCGACACAACAATCTGCTCTTGTTTTCTTTTCAGGACTTATTTCTTATTTTAAGTGGGGGGAGTGAATGATCACAGAAAGAAAAACGAGTCTGCCAGCTGTCCCCAGTGTTTCCTGTGCTGCCTAGAGGACTGGCTGTGGACAAAGGAAGTCATTCTCATTGATATGGTGACAGCAGCAGCAGCTTAGAAATGTCTAAGATGTGCTTGTCAAATATGTTGAAGAGGTATTTATATGTGATGGGGAAAGAGCGTTTTCAGAAAATACAGTTGGAGAGAGCATCCTTGTAGCAGAAATTACATCACTGAGTAGACACTGGAGCTGCAGGACCCGACTTCCGTTTTATCTTTCACCAGGGTTCCTGAACAGCCACTTGGTTCTTCAGTTAAACATAGCCCTAGATGACTTGCCATTCTGAAAAATTCTCCTCCTACCTCAAGTGAATTTCTGTAAGACAATGCTTACTGTTGTATTTATAGGTTTATGGCTTTCTTATTTTTTTAACTTTTAAAGATACAGAAAACAAAGTAAAGTATGTCTAACCTTTCAATATGAAATATTCAAAATGAAAGATTTAAGAAAATCATGGACAGGAAATTCTCCACATTTTCCTTTGACTTCTTATACCAGAGCAAACTACTCTCTTGGATTCAGTATTTACCTCTCAGTAGGTATTTTCTACCTTCATTCTTTCCATAGAGTCATCAATAATATATTATTTTGAACATGTAGGATGAATTCCATAGAGGTTTATCTTGTATGCAACTTTCTTCGCTCAACATTGCTTTTAATACCTGTCATTTGGTCCAAGTGATTTTGTCCATTCATTATAAGTGCTAGTTAGCACTCTAATGTATTGAGGCACTGATCCCAGCCCCACTGACCAGCATTGGAGTTTTTGTCTGTTACACACAAGTCTTCAGTGAATGTTTTTATTTTGAGAATGAGACTATGTCTTTGCAACAAAATCTTCACACAACAGCACATCGAGTTATTACAGCCCCAAAATCTTTGGCTTGTTTATACATTTCTACCAAAATCAATATGATGACATTTTATGTAATAGACATGATCTTTTTTGTATTAACTATCTTTCTTGATTTGTAAGGATAATATTGATCTTATTAAAATGTTAAGCCACAGTACTAATTTTTCATGTTTCAAAGCTGTAGCCAGTCCTGTGAAAGTCCTTTCTAAGAAAACCAAAAGACACCAATTAAAAAGTCAGTTCACACTACCTGAATTCCACAAGGGATAGCTCAATGGGCTTCTAGACAATCACTTCACAGGCCAATGGTATGTGTATTTTACACCAGTATGTTTTACAGTTTGCTCACCTGCAGACTAACTGCATCATTTTTGTAATGTTTGTATATAACCTACACATTCCTAGCCTTTTCTATAGGACATTTTTGCAATGTCCATGTATGACCTATAGATTTCTAGCCTTTTCTCTAGATTTCTTTGAGCTTTAATCTTAAAAAATAGTAACTTCTTTGAAGCAATGGTTATACACTTTAAAACATGCTGGCTATTTATTTTTGTTTGTTTATTCATTTATTGTGTGCATGCCTGTTTGTCTGTATATGCGCCATATGTGTGCAGGTACCCAAGAAAGCCAGAAGAGGATGCCATATGCCTTGGAGTTAGAGTTAGAGGCAGTTGTGGGCTGCCTATCATGGGTGATGGAAACCAACCTTGAATCCTTAGTAGGGACAGTACATGTACTTAACTGTTGAGCCATCTTTCCGGCCCCGATATATGATTTATCCTAGAAAAATACATCTTGTGTATCCTCAGCAGTACCTCAGCACACTGTAGGTGGTATGTTTTTCTGAATATAGCAAATTGTGTTCAATATAGGAAGATAGAGAAGGCAGAGAACACTTAAGGCACCAATGCATAATTGATCTGTAAAACTCTAAACTGACCTTCATGTTACCCATCAGGTTTGTGCTAACATCCCCAGTATACAGTCATAAATACTCATCTAATTTAACAGAAGCAAGCAGGTGAAGAAGCTAGAAATCACTTATAAACACACATCTTTTCAAAATGATAGAGGATGGGTGGAACAATGAAGGTCAGGGGGAAGGGATATGATGCTATGGTTTGAACCGAGGTAGGCAGAGTGCCAAGCCAGTGGAGGACAGCAGAGGGACTGAACAAAGCCTATGGTTTGCATTCCCCCGGGTGAGCTTGGCCTTGGTTAAAACCGAAGGAATCCATCTTGCACATGAAATTATGCAAATGTGTATGTCTAATATTAGACACATGGAGGTTCTTTTTCATGTTTAAAATGTGTTGCAGTGACTTATTGTGGTAAGTATGAATTGAAGAGCAGCGATGAACTTGCAGAGCATCAGAAGACCATCTCTGGGTCTGACAGTTTTGATGCTGTTTAGAAAGCCATGTGCTATTGAACCTACATCTTGCTTGCCTAACGTTCTGTTCCAGGGGAAGCTGGATGTTTCTCCAGGAGTCCTTGTTCTGCCACTTTGTCCCACAGTCTCTACATCAGTAGTTCTCACTGACCATTGTGCAAATACATGGCCCTCCACCAAATCCTTGAGGGCTGTTTGCACTCACACTGTTTCCAGGTGATGCTAGTTTCTAAAGGATAGGCTGTTTCCATGAATTGCTGGTGAGTGTATTGAGAAGAGGCATATTATACAGCAGTGATAAATAATTCATGTGTTTAAAGTATACTTTGAGTTAAATCTTTTATTTTACAGCCCGACTCAAGTCTCCTCCCTTCAAAATTATGGCAAGGTACGCAAAGGGGAACAAGTCAAGGCCCCAAGGATAATGATAGCTCATAGCAAAACTGAGTTAAACGAGACCTTGTGAGCAAACGTACAAAGCCTAATTTGCACTGGCAATTGTGCTTCCAGGTAAGTTCGTCTCATTAGATTTTAATCCTCCTATCAATTCCTGTAGATGATTATGCCCACTGTGCACACAGGGAGACTGATGCTTAGGGCAATGAGGCTTCCCAAGGTGACACAACAGTTAGTCCCATAGTCAACTTTTGATCCCAAAGCCGATGCTCATTCCATCCCTCAGTGGCTCCCAGCCCTCTCTGCATGTCAGAATCATCTCCCACACATTTGAATAACAGAGATACCGGTCTCCCTCTACCCCGGGTCCCTGTGGATGGGGCCTCAGAACAGGCGTTTCTTTCCCTTACCCTCTCCTGGTGGTTCTACGTGCAGTCAGGTTTTGGAAGCCCTGACCACAGCACCAAGCACAAGCAGAGACCCCCCCCCCCATGGCTTTACACTTTTACTGTGAAAAACACACTTTTCTAAAGCTGAGAGGTGGATCCAGAATAGGCAGGAAGTGGATGTGTCTGCAGAGATTACTTCCCCCTCCCAGCATCAGCTACACTTAAGCTTTCTTTGTTTACTCGATGATGCATGGTTTATTGGCAGAGCTGCTCCTTCATTAATGGCAATTAAAAAAAAACCCTTTCATAGGTACATTGGCAGCAGGCACCGTGCCAAGTTCCCTGCAGACTCTTCTAGATCATTTATTCGGGTAGGAAGATGGGGCAAATACACCACTGGCCTTTTCTGATTCCACTTAAGATTCTGAAACAATTAGAAAAGATTCCAAGCGGTAGGAACTGTCCCTGGAGTTTGAGATACACCTGTTTTCCAGAATCAAATTTCTCATCAGCGAGGTCTTAAGAATTTCTAAGTGGCATATGTTTGCTAACTAAGAGAACGGCACAGAGGCCAGCTGTTTTGTTTTAAGAAACGAATCATCATTTAAATGCTTTAAGAGTGTCGCACTCCCCTTCTCCGCCCAGCTGTCCCATGTGACAAGCTTTGGGCCCCGCCGCCCCTGCAGTCTACATCTGTCCAATGGTAATTACATAAAATGCAAGGCATTTGTGAGGATGGGATGGCTCACGGGAAACAGTGTTGCTCAAAAATCCAAGGCACGGGAGTGACTTGGATTGCTATACAGTCATTCTAAAATATTTTTTTTCAGAGTGTCCATGTCTTATTTATACATTCTGCCGAAGAATTTTCCTTTTGAATGGTCAGTCTATAAGGAACTCACTGTTCCTGCTGAGATCTCACAGAGATATTTTCTGGTGGGAGATAAACAATCTTTTGAGTAGATTGGCTGTGCTGATATATAAAGTCATATTTCCTGGCCTCGTGTCACAGTATCATGCCCTCGAACAAAAGAACTTTTACTGGGTGAGTGGATGAAGGTAGTTCTCACAGGCCGTCTGCCTGCAGAGTATCTTCAAAATCTCATATCCGTGTCTGCAGATTTAACGTGAATTTTAAAAATATTAAAAAAATATTTTTCTCTGACCACATTCACTGTGTTCACGTTCACAGTCCAAGGTCATCACAGTTTTACGGTCAAACTGGAGTGGAGTGATATTTTCTGTAGAAAAGTTAATCTACCATCTTCACAAATGATAAAACCAGGCCTCCACGTGAGGGCAATGAAAACGCAATAGAAGCACATTGAAAACTGTTTTTGAAGTAATTGCTTGGCTAGACTACTGCTGGGCGTGATAAAACCTCGCCAAAACAAAACAAAATAATCCCACGAAAACCAGTGAGCTTGAGCCACAGGCGTTTTGCCATTTGGATCTTCTTTCAGATGGTTTTGGCTACCTGCAAGGATTCCTGACTGTTCTTAAAGGTGTTTCTCTTGACATACCCCCTCCCTTATAGCTCGCCTCTGCTCAGTAGCGCTCCCAAGGGGCAGCATCCAGCTGCTGGTCTGCAGGCAGGCGAGGCTCCTGTTCACAGTGACTGCTGCCCCCTGTAGGTGAAAGTGTTTAATCATTTTGAAAACAAAAACGAAAAACTGGCATTACCTTTTCTCCTTTAGGGTCACTTGCTCCGTGCTCACCAGTTCCCTGGGTAAAAACAACCAAAACGATCCAGCTGTTTTTAATGCATTCAACTTTTAAGATCAGCTAGTCAAATGTTAGTAATTACCTTTTATGTATTCTGTGCGACACTTCAGCAGACATTTTTGTCTTTTTTTATTCCCGCTAATGTAATGAATATTTCCTTGCAGAGTTTTTCGGGTCACTTATGTAAACTATCATATCATCTGCAATTAGTGAAAGCTTGACTTCTTTTCCTATTTGTATCCCCTTGATCTCCTTTTGTTGTCTTGTTGATTTAGCTAGAACTTCAAGTACAGTATTGAAGAGATATGGAGAGAGTGGACAGCTTTGTCTTGTTCCTTATTTTAGAGGAATTGCATTGAGTTTCTCTCCATTTAGTTTGATGTTAGCTGTTGGTTTACTGTATATTGCTTTTATTATGTTTAGGTATGTTCCTGTTATCCATGATCTCTCTAGGACCTTTATCGTGAAGGGGTGCTGGATTTTGTCAAAGGCTTTTTCAGCATCTAGTGAGATGATCATGTGGTTTTTCTTTTGCAGTTTGTTTATATGGTGGATTACACTGATATGTTTTCTAATGCTGAACCATCCCTGCATTCCTGAGATGAAGCCCACTTGATCACGGTGGATGATTTTTCTGATGTGTTCTTGAATCCGATTTGCTAGTATTTTATTGAGTATTTTTGCATCGATGTTCATGAGGGAAATTGGTCTATAGTTCTCTTTCTTATTTGTGTCTTTGTGTGGCTGGGGTACCAAGGTAATTGTAGCCTCCTAGAGCTAATAAACACCTTCAGCAAAGTGGCAGGATACAAGTTTAACTCAAAAAAAATCAGTGGCCCTATTATATACAGATGATAAAGTGGCTGAGAAAAAAATCAGAGAAACATCACCCTTTACAATAGCCATAAACAGTATCAAATATCTGGGGATAATGTTAACCAAAGAAGTGAAAGACCTGTATATCAAGAACTTTGAGTCTCTAAAGAAAGAAATCAAAGAGGATACCAGAAAATGGAAATGTCTCCCATGCTTTTGGATTGGTAGGATCAACATAATAAAAATGGCAGTCTTGCCAAAAGCAGTCTACAGATTCAATGCAATCCCTATCAAGATTTTGGCACAATTCTTTACAGACCTTGAAAGAACAATAATCAACTTTATATGGAAAAGCAAAAGACCCAGGATAGCCAAAACAACCCTATACAATAAAGGACATTTAGGAGGCATCACATACCTGACTTCAAGCTCTTTTACAGAGCTATAGTCCTGAAAACAGCTTGGTATTGGCACAAACATAGACAGGTAGACCAATGGAACTGAATTGAAAACCCTGATTTTAACCCACACACTTATGAACACTTGATTTTTGACAAAGAAGCTAAAATTATACAATGGACAAAAGAAAGCATCTTCAACAAATGGTGCTGGCATAACTGGATATTGGCATGTAGAAGACTGCAGATAGATCCATGTCTATCACCTTGCACAAAACTTAAGTCTAAATGGATCAAAGACCTTAACATAAATCCAACCACACTGAAACTCTTAGAAGAGAAAGTGGGAGATACTCTTCAACAAATTGGTACAGGAGACCGCTTCCTTAACATAACACCAGTAGCACAGACATTGAGATTGACAATTAACAAATGGGACCTCCTGAAACTAAGAAGCTTCTGTAAGGCAAAGGACACAGTCAGCAAGACAAAAAGGCAGTCCACAGAATGGGAAAAGATATTCACTAACCCCACATCTGACAGAGGGCTGATCTCCAAAATTTACAAAGAACTCAAGAAGCAAGTCTCCAAAACACCAAAGGATCCAATTAAAAAGTGGGGTACAGAACTAAATAGAGAATTCTCACTAGGGGAGTCTAAGATGGCTGAGAGACACTTGAGAAAGTGCTCAACATCCTTAGCCATTAGGGAAATGCAAATCAAAACAACTCTGAGATACCATCTTACTCCTGTCAGAATGGCTAAAATAAAAAACACGGAAGACAATTTATGCTGGAGAAGATGTGTAGAGAGGGGAATACTCCTCCACTGCTGGTGGGAGTGCCAACTCGTACACCCCCTTTGGAAATCAGTATTAAGATTCCTCAGGAAAATGGGAATCAATCTACCACAAGACCCAGTAACTCCACTCTTAGGCATATATCCAAAAGATGCAAATTCATACAACAGGGACATCAGTTCCACTATGTTCATAGCAGCATTATTTGTAATAGCCAGAACCTGGAAGCAACCTAGATGCCCCTCAACTGAAGAGTGGATAGAGAAAATGTGGTACATTTACACTATGAAGTACTACTCAGCAGAAAAAAACAATGGAATCTTGAAATTCGCAGGTAAATGGATGACACTTGAAGAAACCATCCTGAGTAAGGTAACCCAGTCACAAAAAGACAAACATGGTATTTACTCACTCATATATGGATTTTAGACATGGGTCAGGATAGTGTCAGTCTGCACTTCCACTGACAGAGAGTCTGGGAAACAGGAAAGAACCTAAGAGAGATTTGCATAGTACCCCAGAGAAGAGGAATGAGGCAACATGGTGAGAGGTGGGGGGTGGGTGGGGAGTGGGAGCTGGGAAGTAGAGGGGAGGAGAAGAGGAGGAAAGAGTAGGTCATGGGGGAACAGGAAGGTTGAGTGGGGATAGAATAGGAGGAGAACAGGATAAGAAATACCATAATAGAGGGAGTCATAGGTTAGAAGACAGTTCTGGCACCAGTGAGACCTCTAGTGATCTAAAGGGATGACACCAACTGGAAAACTAAGCAATAGTGGAGAGACCACATTAAATGCCCTTTCCTGATAATGAACTTGACGTCTATACTATATCCCATACTAGAACCTTCATCCAGTGACTGATGGAAGCAGAGGCAAACACCCACAGTTAAACACTGAACTGAACCCATGGAACCCAGTGACAGAGAGAGAGGAGCGATGAGCAAATTGGCAAAGAATGGGCTGGCAAAACCAGCAGAGACAGCTGATCTAAACAAGGGGGAGCTCTTGGACCCCAGGCTGACAGATGGGGGGGCCAGCATGGGAGTGATCCAGACCCCTGAATGTGAGAGTCAGTGAGGAGGCCTGGACAACCTATGGGGCCCTGGGTAGTAGATCAGTGTTTATCCCTGGCATACAAATGGACTTCGTGTGTCCATAACACAAAGAGGGATTCTCTCTCAGCCTGGACTCTTAGGGGAGTGCCTGGACCCTGCCCTGAGTGAAATGACAGACTCTGGATATCCCCCATGTGGAAGGAAGTGGGCTTAGGGTGGGAGGCTGGGGGGGGATGGTGGGGAGGTATAGGAGGAGGGGAGGGAGAGGGAACTGGGATTGACATGTGAAGCAAGCTATTTAAAATTAAAGTAATAAAAAAGTAAAAAAAAATCTAGGATCGACATGTAGGAGAAAACATGAAAAAAAATGTAATGAAATCTTCTTAAGTACCAGCTTAAATACTAGCTAAATATCTCCAACGCTGGAGACCCCACTTGTTCTTTTCTGGTGATTTTGCCAGGAAAATGTCACAACCTCAAGGGTGGTGACTCCCTTTTCCATAGGCATACATGCCAGACTCAGCTGCACTCCGAGTCTCCTGCTCTTTCTATTCTCAAATATTTATTGCCTTAATTAGACTCCGGCCACCCTGGGAGGGTGACTGTGCTCTGTCATCACACATAAAAGGTAAATACAAATTGTTAGGAAGCACTTGGCTTTGGGATCCTCAGGGTGTTAAAAGAGACCATTATTAAAGACTGGAAGAGGACAGGCAGGCTCTCATTAGTGGATCTCCACAAGTTTGGTCCTGAAATCCTCCACAGAAACCCTTACTCCCCTAAGCTGTGTGGAACCTTAAAGTAGACACCTTAGAGCTGCAGCCAGGTGACCCCAGCTTCTGCCTAGGACCAATCATTGATGAAGCAGGACTCTGCTCATTTGCATGGCAGAGACCGCAGAACTGAAAATAACATGGGCACGTGGTTCATGCTAACCTCTCAGGCTAGAACACTGACCAGATTGGTCTGTCCCTGTTCCCACAGAAGGAACTACAAGTTGGAAAGCTACATGCATAATAGGTTACCCTACTGGAATAAGGACTTCTCTGAAGTGGAGTCCCTGCCTATCACTGCCTTGGCAGTTACTGGTTCTACCGGTAATTCATGCTGTCTGTTCTTATTATGGTTTAATGAATAAATCGGTTTCCCTTCATGTCTGGTAGAGGGTGAATTTGTCTATTGATCACCAATAAGCCCTGTGAGTGCCATGCCTCTGCCTTCTTAGGAAATTTTATCACTGCTGTTAGATGAAATTGGACAATAAGCTGTAACTGAAGTTGGCCATTTCTTCTTGCCTTGGTCAGCTCACCCGTTCTTTCTTCTGATAACACAACAGAAAACATCATTACCCCGGGGTCTTGCTTCCCATTCTTGGACAGCTTTTTCTAAATCAAAATGGCTGTAATGATCCCACCAGTCCAGATAATTAATGTAATATAAACTTTAGACAAAGTTCCTCTGACTCCAGCCTCCCTGCTCTTGGAGCATCTACTGTAGGAAACTTGTGTTCCCGTGGCTTGAAGAATTCCTGTGGTAGAGGGTTTTCTGTGCTCTATGAGTGGAGCTTGAGCTGCCCTTGTCTTTTTCGGGGCTCCCTCTTCTGTTTCTTCATCTCTGTCTCAGACTTCTCTTCCTCTCTCCCCATCTGGCTGTAGAAGGTTGATCTTCCTCAGGACTTGCTCCAGGATCTCTTCTCAGGTGACTGGACACTCACACCAAACCGTTGTCTAGCCCCGTGGTTAACGTATTGTTTAGACAAACACAAGTTTATATGCCTAGCACATATCTTCTGCTCTCAGCTTTAGACTTCTGTATCTAATTCTAGAAGCAGTTCATACCCAACAAATTAAAAGATGAAAGGAAAACACACACATGCATACGTATGAGACCATGTGACAAGAACCTTAACATTGGTTAATCCAGAAGTAGGAGA